GTGGGATTTGTCGTTCTGGATAGGTTATGTTTTGAAAACAATTGGGTTGGATGGGGGAAAAAAAACTCTTGTTCCTGACAGACAAGTTTACGCCAGCAAGCAATTTAAACCTTCAGAACTGTTTTAGATTTATTTGTCCATATGCATATAAAAAAAATAGTTTGCCTTAAAGGACACAGTGCACTAATTTTCTCGCAGTTTAAATAACATCAGTTGTGTTTGTGGAGTGACGGAGGCTTACACACTGATGCAGATTTTTGTAAAAATGACTTGTGCAACTAATAATAATAGTAAGCCGTAATATAAGCAAGCAAACATACTTGACTTCTTTTGGTCTAGATTTGGACAGGGCAATCACAAGGCAGTTTGTTTGAAAGGGCACAATGCCAAGATTAGACAAGAAGAGCATTATATGAAAAATGAAAATAAGGTAAACATGTTCTAATTAGTTACATACAACCATCGTGTGCGTGTGTGTGTGAGTCTCCCACTACCATGAGTCTCTGTGGGTAGCTAACATGACTCACCCACCGTACCAGCAACGGCCCTGGCTCACATGTACTCACATTGAGAGCAGGGTGACATATCATGGTTTGGCAGATGATGCCATGCTGTGGGGGCCTGTTGAAGAATAGAAGGATTTCTCTCAGAGGACAAAGACGCAGAGGGAAAGAAACGGAGGAGTGCAACAGTCTCTATTTCTTTTGCCAGATACACCCCAATAAAAAATTATTCTAAAGACAGACTCTTGTTCTCTCTTTTTTTTAGATTTTGTTAATCTGTTTTCACAATCTTTTATATATCACTGCTTATGTGTTCTGATATAATGGTTGAAGGCTATAAATCAAATATGAAACCCTTTATGAAGTTCACAATTTTTTTCCCGGTAAAATCAGATTGGCATTTCGTGACAGATGGGGAATAGTTAGAATGTAAACCCTTGACAAAGTACTAGGTCAGCATCATTAGCTCGTAGCCTTCTGACACTAAGTGGACTGTAGAAATGCTTTAGCAAAAAAAAGAGGAACAGCTAAAGACTTTTATTTGTTTAGTTAACCAGTATGGTGGATGAAGCATGATTTGATCATAAAGTAGTGTAGAGATAAAGAGGAGGAGGCTGGATACATCCACTCTGAGCTGACAGTGATGAAGGAATCCACTCTAAATCTTAAACACTCTACAATGGGCCAAAACGCAAGTGCTTTTTTGGGCTTTCAACTTGATATACATCAGACACCAGAGTTAATGCTGTAATGCAAAGACAAAAAACTGAAATTCTTACCTAATTCCCTTGGATCAGTGTTATAATTATTCATTGGCCCATGTTGGTTTGGAACCAACTCCTACTCTTATGAAAGTGAGACAAAATCTACAGGTATACCCTAAATATTCTGTTAAACATGAAATGTAGATAATATAACTATATATATAACTATATAATATAAATGTAAATAATTTCCCTCTGGGATTGTTATAAAGTATTTCTGATTCTGATTCTGATTCTGATAGAATTAACTGAAAAAATTCTCCCATTCTTTCAACAAATCGTATGAATTTCCACATCCACGGATTCTCATATAGAAAAACTGTGACATATGTGGCCGTAAAGTAAGGCCTTAGGTCAGGCCAATTTCAAGGAAAAGCAATGCAGACATTCATTCCACTGAATTTCAGAAAGAAGCGTCCTTTTTGTTTGGACAAGATAAAACTGTACACAAAGCAATGCACACTCGCTCACACACAAGCAGACATATTTAAGTAGGTCTGACTTTAGAGCCATATGCCTGCAAATGTGGCTTGTCTCAATAAAACATGGCGCTCTTCTGTTAATCTTTAATAGTTCTGTCCTTCAGAATTAACCCAGATGAACAAACATTTAGGGCACCGTCCTCACACGCTCACTGATTCCCTGTTCCCTTGTTTAAATTCGTTAGGGCCTCATGCACCATAATTTCCTCAACCCAATATTTTCTGGTCATTTATCCCTCCATTTCTTCCACTGTCCCCTTTGTGTTTTCTTTACTTTGCTCCTTTCTTGTTGTTTTTGTCGTCCCTTACCTACTCAGTGGCCACATGTCACTGGTCTTTTACACAAAACAGGACAATCCACTTATCAAGTGGACAGGCTGAACCTGATGGAAAAGAAAAGCAACAAACTGGTACTATTCTGGAACAAAAAACTATGTTGGAAAAGACATTAAGAGACATTATGGAGGTAAATAGCAGCGTGTGTGTGTTGGGGGGGGGGCTGACAACAGGGAGGATCTTGCTAACATGGCAACGAGCGATGAATCGTGGTGGTAATTCGATAAAAAATTTACGGCGGGGGGGTTCGACTCGGGGTCTCAGAAGATGCAATGCATGTTTTCGGTTAATGTGTGAGTCTGTGCCTGAAGGTGTAATTTGGCAAAATCCTCCCAAACAGGGTGAACAAGTCATACTGTTGGGTTGTCCTAATGTTACAGTGACTATTAACAGAAACTTTAATCGTGTACATAAGTACAAGGTTTGAAATTGGACATGGTTGCATCAATGTATAAAATAGATGACTAACCACAGCTATTTCCTGTCAGTGGACCTAGTTGCATAAGTTGAAGTGAGTGTACTCTGTTATCCATGCACCACACCATGATATAATATCATTATCCACTGGGTGAGAGAGTTCTACTTTCCCATGGGCTTCAATTACACAGCCAAAGCATCAACACAAACCGACAACTGTAATAAACTGCAGCACTGATAATTGATGGTGAGAAACCTTAGTTTTTTTGGTCCACCTTCAATTATGTCACCCTCTTTTTCTAAGTTGTCAAACTCTGCCCTCTGCTGCTTACTTTACATAACTACACTGATAAAAGGTTTCGAACTAACATAGATTTAGTTTATAGCATTTCAGCCAAAGGCATCAAAACGAGTGAAACAAGCCAAAGAATACAGGAAACATTTTTTATTATCAGCTATCATAAAGTCACAGGTTAAATTAATAAATCGCAGCTCTACTTAAACAAACATGATTTGTGTCACCCTTTTCTAGAGTCGACTTCCCTTGTGTCGGATGGCGTGTGACACACGCTTGCGTCAGATAAGAAGACCTAGCATCATCGATTTTCAGTCCACTTGTGTCAGTTGGTGTAACTCAATCTTTTCTCCGGGTTTCCCTTCCTGGAGAATTCTTTCTTGACAGCCACCAATCGAGTGAAATCCTGATGTGGCTTGGGTCAATAGTCAACAGATCCATAAAAGAATCAGATCTACCTCTGGGGTTTAAAGGACTAAATGGACTAGCTTTTTTTTTTTTAAATCATTGTTGCTGCAAAAATATTGACGCTATAGAAATGGATCTAAATGATGTGTCTGCAAAAGACTGAAGGAAGTATTTGCAAACACTTTCTTCGAAGTCTAGTGCCTCTATTAGGAACAGAAATCTTTTAAAGCTTGTTGTGTACACCCAGTCAGATTTGACAAAGCCTTATAAATAAGGAATTGAAATGTGAAAATAATTTTACATTGTGGGATGGAGACGTCCATAATGCCCACTACTTCATGTGGACTCCCAGGAATTCTCTGGCTGTGATTCTTAGGAGGAAAAATGGGAAGTAGGAGCGACCAGGTGCCACAAGACAGAAAAAGCTGTGGTTTAATCGCTAAGGAGAGTTTTGATTACACAATGACAAATGTTCAGTGTCTGGATTTTTATTTCTTTAGATGGCAAATGATAAAATTGAAGCCTTTCCTCTGCAGAACGTTACAAAACATTAAATGTTACCAATTCAAAGAAGACATGATAAGTACAGATATCTGAACCCAAAACACAAGATTTACAAGATTTTAAAAGATGGTTCTTTGAAAAGTGTATGTAATATGTTACATCTTAATTTCCTTTCTAGAAAAGTGGATGTGTTATGTTAAATGTAAATAAAGACAGCATTCATTTAGTTATACTATTGATGTCCAATTAATTTACAACAAAACAGACATGAATATTTAAAGTCAGATGTTTACTATTTTGTGAAAATTAGTAGCTCTGTTGAAAAATTTGGGTGGGAAAAATGTCAATCAGACAGAGTCTACAGAAAAATTAGGTTTGCATTAGAAGGGAAAAGGTTTAATCAGATGTTTGTAAAGCCAGCAACATGACTGTGTATAAAAAGAGTACTTTAGTGAGGCTCAGAACAATGATCCTCAAGGTTAGATACAAATCAGACATCTTTTCTCTCCCAAAAGTTCAGAAATTGGTTTAATCAACTCATAGATGTTTACAGTTGAGGGAGAATATTTTACTGTGGTGAATATGACTTTCTATAAACATTTTTTTCTATTGCTCACAATTTGAATTAGTTTTTTCTTTTAACTGTGTCTTTAAAGAAACTGAAGTGTTTTTGTACGTTAAAACCGGTCCTATCTGGTAGTAGTTTATGATGAATCCTAAACCCACTTGCACAGACCCCCACTGTGTCACAAACTCTTACACTGGGTAATTCTTCGGGAGTCACTTAGTAATATGATCCATTTATGGATGAGAACTAAATCATACAAATGTAATGAAAATGATTGGAAATTACAATAAACAGTTGCATTAAACTGTCAAACGCTAACAATAAGGTCTGAACTTCTCTACTCTCTGTCAAACCCAGTGAAATAACCTTTGCCCGATTGAACACACTCAATAATAATAATAATAATAATAATAATAATAATAATAATAATAATAATAATTAACAGTGTCAGTTGATTACAGATAAAGATAAAGAGATTTAGGGATCTTTGCTTAAAAATTAGGTAAAATTTAAGAAAAACCAGCGTCTTTTTTACGAAAATGTAGGATGATATTATCCTAATTTTTCAATAAAGCTTTGTAAAAACGTGCAACTCAAAATTATCTAAATAAAATTATCAGAGAAGTTTTACTGTTTTGTTTAATAGTTAGAATAGACATGGGTAACCCTGTTGTGATCTTTTTCTAACCTGTCACTAGTATCCGTCTCAGACGGTGTGATTACCTTGACAGACACGCCTGAGTGTCGCGTGGCTGTGCGCGAGATCTCGTACCTTCCAGCACAGCTCCTCTCGCCGCACCACCAACTTGTCACCAAAGATGGCGATTTGCTGAGTGCTCATGGATACACACATTTCTCGGCTAGTTGTTATCTTACCCGAAGCGCCAACTTTAGAAACAAATTAACTGCTGAGCGAGCCACTATTTCTCCCTTTGCAGCCCCTCTGACGCCACGTCAGTCGCCGCCACCATGCAGATTACCCTTAAAACACTGCAGCAGCAGACTATTCAAATTGAGATAGACCCCGAACAAACGGTGAGTGGCTATCGGCTAACTAGCTCTAGCTAACAGGGCTAGGAGCGGGACTTCTGTTTTAGCTTTTCTTTTGGACCCGGCAGTCTTATGGTATGTGTCCAAAAGAGAACAAGCTGTGTCGTTTCGGAAAGCATGCCCTCATTTGCCGCAAATGTGCTACCCCCGTGAAATTAGTTTTAAAAACAACACATTTAAATGTGTCCCAAGCTAACGTGGGAAGGCTAATGTTGCTAAGGCTAGGTGTGCAGCCCATTAACAAAGTCACAGCGTCGCAACCCGAAACCAGTTTGTCATCATTTGAAGTTTGATCCGCGGGTGCTTGGCGGCTTTTGCTCTTAGTTTGTATCCGATTCGGTTTGTTTAAAAATCCCGCAACTTGTGGGTTAAACCCAACTGTCCAGCATCCATATGACATCAAAAACGGAATGCTAACACTCATGACTCTGCCAATTATGACTAGCTTCACTGGTAGCCTGCTGAGAAGCTGCTTCAGTTTGACTGGCTCCCATATGAAATATCTATGGTGTGAGGTAAATGTTAAGTGTAGCCTGGTCTTTCATCATTGACATAATATTCAAAGGCTCGTGATATATTCCAGGAGATACACAATCCTTCAGTTTGGGCTGATATGCTGAGTGATGGACTGGATGTGGGCAAAAATCAGTTTAGCTTATTATTTTTAACTCAGCTGACCTCAAAAGTCAGCTGTGTTGCCTTTTGCCTAACAATGATGTTAGGAAAAAAAATGACAGCAGCCTTGCAAATGTGAAATCACTGAAGGAAAAAAAAAAAAAAAGTGATTCTGTGGATGGTGTGGATATAACCCTGTCAGGGATAATGCTTCCTCTCTTTATTATCAGGTCAAGGCCTTGAAAGAGAAGATAGAAGCGGAACGAGGAAAGGACAACTTTCCCGTCTCCGGGCAGAAGCTGATATATGCCGGCAAAATCTTGCAGGATGACACGCCAATTAAGGACTATAAAATTGATGAGAAAAATTTTGTTGTAGTGATGGTGTCCAAGGTGAGCTAAGATGTTTCTTTTTTACAACAGATATGTTTTGGAAATGCAGATTTTTTTTATTTTTATTATGATTTTTTTCATTTAGGATGCTACACAGACTAAGTGGACACAGGGACCTTTCCTTTTTGTGTTACCTTACAATGCTTAAGGGTTCTCTCCCAATTATTTAGGCAGCTAACAAAATAATAAGGCATTGAATGGCAATCTGTATTGTTATTTTATCGGCATGTTTACTTGAAAACCTGCCAGATCTCTAAATCTATCACTGAAATAACAGTCCTATATATTTTGTTCAAGGTAACACAAAAAGGAGAAATTAAGCCTGTTTTTTTTTAGAGGTCTCTGGCAAAAAAAAACAAGAAAAAAACATTTAGTTGTTGTTTTTTTAAACGCACACCAAAGGCCAAGCCCGCGGCTGCAGCCTCACCACCAGTGTCAGAAGCACCCAAGCCCCCGGCACAGGAGCCCGGCCCCACCTCAAGTGCCCCCCCGCCGTCAAACCCTGCTCCTGCTCCTGCCCCAGCTCCAGCGGCTGTTCCCGCTCCCGCCGAGGAGGCCAAACAGGAGCCAAGTGCCGAAGCCCCAGAACCACAACAACCAGCCAGGTACAGCCCGTCGTGCGATCAGGGGCACACATTATTCTAGTATAATGCGTGTAAGTGTGTGAGTCTGACCGAAATTGTACCAAATGAAAGCTGTCAAAGCTTAGAATTGAGCGGTTGGTGCTCATCTCCTGCGTTTATACACTCGACCAGTCTCAAATTACCTTAGACACTCAGCACACGCCCCGCAGTTTGATCCCTTTTTAGGTTTCTGCAGGTAACGCAGAAGAAGTCACCCAGTGCTACAATTTCTGATATATTTAAGCCCATGTAGCTCATTTCCCCTTCTGTGCTTATACTCAGAGGCCTTGCCTCTTATACTCAGAGGCAAGGGAAGTGATCCATGAAAATCCTCGTATTCGAACTTTTTAACTGTACTTCTTTTTTTACAGAACTAAGCTTATAAACGTAATGTTGTGTCTTTAACTGTTCCTCTGTCTTTGAGCACCTTTTTGTTTTCTTTCTCCGTTCAGTTACTAGGAAACTATGTGCAGCACTCCCTCCAATAAAAACTAGGATTCAGATCAAAAGCGATCCTTTGCTGTGGGCGGAGTTGATTGGAACAAATAGAGGCCAGTCTCTTAATACTTGCTTGGACAGGACAGGGAGGGAGAGAAGGAAGGAGAGAAAACAGAGCATACCTGCCATTACAATGTGCATACCACAGATGTTTAGCCCAAACCACTTCTATCACGTGTGTTAAATGAAGTAGCCAAGCTTTAGGTATGAAATTTTGCTGGATAGAGGATTTGTTAAAGTGGCTGTCCGATTCCTACATTTTCAAACGGTTAACACTAAAGATAATGGGGGGGGGTTGTATCTATTTAGATTCAAAAGAGGGAATAAACTTGACACGTTACAGGAAGTGTCAGGCGTGTCAAGATGATTGTTTCTAAGCATGTTTGCTGTTGTGGTTCCTCAACTTTCTCGCAAACACTGCATTGTCTCCGTAATCCTCCACAACTTGTAAAGTTTTCCTATGCATTTTAAGGCATATTCTGGAAGGGGCAAAAAAAACGGCACTCGACCCGATTATGGTGCTCCCCATAGTAATGGATGGATATCGGGTTGACTCACATATGAATGCACAAGTATGTGGAGAGGAGGTGTGCTGTGTTTTTGTGCTCTGTCCCAGATTTTCAGTTTCAGGCAATAAAATAAGGCAAGTGAAGAAAAACGCAAGTCAGACTACTTAAAGTGGATGTTTGAAACGAGTGCCAGCCTCCAGACTCTCATTTGGGGAACTAATTGAAGGCCAAAGCCTTTGTATTAGGAATTGTGTCGGTAGTTGGCAACAATGACGCGAGGTCCTGTGGAAATCCTGAAGCAGTCTCAATGAAAGCGGGTAAAGACAACAATTGTCTTGCTCCGACGGCAAACGTGGAACGAGCCAACTTTTATCAACGTCAGGAAGAAAGTTAAGAAAGTTTTAAAATGAGAATTTGCTTCACAAATGCAAAGTTCCCCCCCATTAGTCCATCGTTCAGATTTAGCTGAATTGTAAGATGACCTACGAGTCTTTGCAACTTCAAACGGGAAAATTGAAAGCTTGTTAAAAATGGCAATGGATATTCTTATTTTTTATGTGATTTAACTGTTTGTGTGTCTTCAAAATTACAGTGTTTAAAACCTGATGGAAATGCTTCGAAATTACGAGGAAAACAAAATAATTGCTGAGATTGAAATGACCCCTTTAGCCAAAGTTGGTTTGGCCAGCTTAGCTTTGGGAAAATAAGAGAAAAGGTTTAAGCAGCCAAACCGTTTAAGACCAAGAAGTGGAAATAGTTGCAACTTTTGGGTTTGTGATTTACAGGGACACTAACACAATTCTGGTGACCTGTGGGCATCCACTTTTCTGTCCGGTGTTTCAGAAAAGGGAACATTTTGTTACTTTCATTTATGTTCAATAGGCAGATCTGAGGAAACGCCCCCACTTTATTTTGCTCTCTGTTTTTATAGAGGTTCATCGAGCCCAAATGTCTCCCGTGAAGCTGCCTGCACTTTAGGGCCAAAACACGCCAAAAGAACTGTTTTCTATTAAAACTCCCTTCCCTTTTTCCCATCTCTTGTTAAATCGTGGCTGTTATTTACGAGGAAACGAGCGAGCTAATGAGGAATAATGCACCCTAATTGTGGCTTAAGCCGGGATCCCGCAGTATTTGATGCAAAATGGCATTGATCAGTTCTCCACTACTGAATAAGACCGATTGCATTGAGTGTCACCAGCATATTGCTTAGTCATAGCTAGCATAGCTTCAATTGATTTTTTTCTAGCTGAAATACTTGAAGTGCATGTCTACGAAGGAATTTCAGCCGTAAAGCAAAGCATCGGTTAAGCGCGTGCTATTTCTTTACCACTCAGTCAACGGATTCCGCACAGATATCCTGTTTAGAGCAAATAATCCATTGTCCAAACAATCAAAGGCAGGAACAGGAACACTGGTGATGGGGCTGAAAGCCGGTGTCCCAGCAACCAAAATGGACGCATCCTTTGAAATGACCTCAGCACTTTTAGAAATCTATGTTTACAGTTATTTTTATTCTCGGAACGGCTGACGTGTTGTGTGGTTCGTCTGATTTTTTCTCTTCGTGTTTTGTAGCTCCAGCGGTGGGAACCAGGGTCTGGATGCCTCCTCGGCGCTGGGTGGGTAACGCATGCCTTCAGATTGTCATTACTTGATGGGGACCATCTACTATTACATGTTCTGCAGATGATTAAGTGTGCAAAGTTTTGACGATTTTGATTTCACAGTGAGAGATTTGTTCAGCTGATCTCCTGCCATAATTGGGACACTGATGGGGTTGGCACCAAAATGCGGAAATGGGCGATTATGAATCCATTTACAAGAGTCAAATCTTGGTTTTCTTAACATTTGATGATAGATTTTGAGGAAAGCGCTGACTTGGATCGTATGAAATGCAAGATGCAGATCAATTCCTTTACAACTGTAGACGTCTTTGGAGCTAGGATGCGATATCCAGACTCAGGACATGTCACTCGTTCCCACGCGCCCCAACAAGACCTACCAGACCTAAAACGAAGCGGTGGGAGCTCTGAAGAGTCCTCTCACCCCGGCTGCACAGCTTATTACAGAAGGGTGACGGCCGATTTAGATCCTGATGACCGATCCAACTGGGCTTTTCCTCTAAAAGTACAGAGGTTGGGGCGATGCATGCACGACGGTTTTCTCATCCCAGAGATCGCTCCCCACACACACACACACACACACACACACACACACACACACACACAGACGTCTGCAGTTGCTGCTGTTGTCAGTCAGGGGCTTTATGAGCTCCGGCCCAACACAGTGCTTCTATATTCAGACTCTGACAATAGCCGGCCTTTGTTTGGGGCGGTGTCGTTGAGAACGACGGGGATTCCCATTCGATCCTCCCACGGTTTTTATTCGTATACCGGGAGAGGGAGGACCATAGCTACCAGGCAGCCACGCAGTTTTGCCACGGCTGCAAAAGCTGAGGTCCGAATGCAGATTCTTTTCGTCATTTCACAGCTCCCCGTTCACGTGTTTAGTCCCACTTCTGCCCGCGTCCGAGTATCGGATTCTCACCCGAGTATTCATAGAATCTGAGTCAGTGCTGAATCAGACCCATCTATTAAAAATAGTCCAAATCAGAGCTAAGAGAGCCGAGGGAGAAGGGCTCGCCACATTCAGACACTTTGAACAGGAGGAGTAAGGAGGAGTAAGCAGCCCCCCTCCCCTCGACTCGTTTCTGACGGCGTGGTGCCGGCAGAAAGCCGAGCAGCCACTGACCATCTGCCTGCGCCTGTGTTTGCAGTGACCGGAGCCGAGTACGAGGCCATGCTCACAGAGATCATGTCCATGGGCTACGAGAGGGAGCGAGTGGTGGCGGCGCTACGGGCCAGCTTCAACAACCCCCACAGAGCCGTGGAGTACCTCCTAACCGTACGCCCCCCCACACACACACTCTGACCATTTCAGGAGAAGTGCTCACATTCTTGTGGGGGGGGGGGATACATGGAAGTTATATAAAAAAAGAATTTAAACACGAATGGTAGTTTTTGCTCCTTCAACAAGATTTTGAGGAGGTTGAAGTGTTTTTATCCCAGGTGCTAGGCAAATTTTAAGATTTTTTTGATTGATTATTTTTTCTCCCTTTAGTCTTTTCATATTTTAATCATGAGAAGTTTTAGTTTTATTAAGAATTAGGATTCTAAATGCACGTCGGGAGTGTGTCTGAACCAAAGGTTGTTTGCATTTGATTAGCAGAATGCATATTTAAAAGCCCTGCTTACCTTAATGTTTGTTTACTAAAGTTTATTTTTAAACCATCAAATGCAAACAGCATTGAGGTGATGGGTTATAAGATCCTAAATGAACTCCATGATTTTATCATAATAGTTAGGGAAATAATAGGCAAACTGGACTTGTTAAACAGATATTGGGGACGGGTGGAAATTGGGATCTGTATCTTTCTGAAATATTACTAGCAAAAACTGATCATTTTTGACAGAAGGTTTTAATTGAATTACCTTTGTGACATGGCAGCTGATTGGATGTTCTTTGAATAGGACCGATCTCTGTGGTTTGTCCACATTTCTGATAGCAGGAGTGTGCGTTATTGACGTCTGTGTCATTTCGTTATCAGGGTATCCCCAGCAGTCCAGTTCAGGAGAGCAATCCACCAGTGCAGGCCCCTGCATCTGGACCCACAGAGGCCCCGTCTCTGGCAGAAGGTAGGCCACACATCTCACATCGGGTTCTTAACAAAGGGAGGGACTCAAAGTGTGTGTTTCTGTCGCCTCACCAAAGGGTCTGTGAGCTCCAGATGTGCGTTTCCTTTAACCTAACCCTAAAGGAAAATGTTCCCTAACGCTGGGATCTGTGAGCGATGCCAGCTGAGTCAGCAGTGTGGCTTTTGTAAACATCGAGGCGACAGCGACACAGTGTCAGAGTAAATGACGGCCACCGCCTCCTGTGGCAGACGCTGTGACTCACTTTCCCCCACCGCAGGCTTTGCCAGCAGCTGTTCGACTTGTTGGCTTCCACCTGAACTCTCTTGCCTTCGGCCTCTCGGATTGAAACCCGGATTTATGGGACAGTTTATGTTCGGTATCCATTTGTCCAAGCACGTACAACCTGGGGGCTCCCATTTGATGAGCAGAGGGTCAGTTAGATTGTAGTCCCTGAAGGAGCCAGCTGGTTTTAGGGGAGTGGCTCTAGGACCCCAGCAATCCCCGTCGCAGCTCTGACCAAAACCTGATGACCCCTCAGTGAGCTGTTGGACAGCACCGGCCTATAGACGTATCATAGTTTGATCGTTGAAATTATTCTGGTCCATTTTATTGTAGCACCAGTTTCGGGAGTTTACTTTGAATTCTTCAATCAAATTCAAACTTTTAGAAATGTTATTTATTTTATTAAAGTGTTTGATTACCCCTCAGTTAGTGGGCACAGAATTGGAGTTATGTGCCCGGACTATAGCCACTACCCCCCTGGCGTCCGAACCAAAGAGGTCGGTTTGTTGGTGTTCGTTGGGGATTTTATAGACCTCCAAGTCTGTGACTAAACACCGGGGAGCACAGACCAATAAAGGTGCGAGAGAGAGCAGTTCAGGGGTTATAAAAGTCCGAAAAGCGTAGAAAATACTGCACGCTCACGTGCTTGCTCTTGGTTGGAAATGTTGTTCTTCTGTAAATAAGTCAGAGTTGGTCTGACCTGCTCTGTTTGGAAAGCGGTTAGGTAACTGTTGGCGCTATATAAATACAATTGAATTGAGCGACAAGTAGGACGTTCTTCTCTCCTGTTTGGTGTTTTCAGAACGTGATTGAGGATACTTTGAACTTTGTAGTCAGAGCCGGGCTTTAGTGAAGGAGAGCTGTGCTCATTGGTAGAAAAGCGTTTACCCTTTTAGGATTGGAGCGGTGAAGGGACTGATGTCATAAATTAAAAGCTCTTGTGGAAGCTGGTGTACCAGCACAACAAGATGGGGCTTTTTACCGTCTCACCGATAGAATGCTCGGGTTTGTAATGTGTGTGAACGACACCATTTTGTGTTTCTGTTCAGCTTAGGAAAAACGTTTGTGGTGAAACTGCCTTAACGTAGCAGTCTGTTTGTATCCGGGCGAGTGTTCCAGCGATCAAAGAGAGGCCGTGCGGAGTTTAAGCTCGAAAGCCGTCCTGTGGGGGGGGGTATAGTCTCGTTGGTGGTTGTAGTAGAGCTAACGCTGACTGCTTCTGCCCGTCGTCAGGAGAGAACCCGCTTGCATTCCTGCGCACCCAGCCCCAGTTCCTGCACATGAGGCAGGCCATCCAGCAGAACCCCGCCCTGCTACCGGCCCTCCTCCAGCAGCTGGGCCGGGAGAACCCCCAACTCCTACAGGTAAAGCCCCCACCCCTTAAAGGCCTCGTAGGAAGCCGTAAAAAAGCGTTCCCGTTCCGACGCCAACCCCTCTTTCCGTTTGCACCCCCAGCAAATTAGCCAGCATCAGGAGCTGTTCATCCAGATGTTGAACGAGCCGGTGGGCGAGGGCGGAGACGCGCCGGAGGTGGGAGAGATGGGGGCCGCGGGGGAGGAAGGAGCGCCCGTCAACTACATCCAGGTTACACCTCAGGAGAAGGAAGCCATAGAAAGGGTGAGCCTCAAGGGAAGGCCGGGTATCTGATTCCTAAACATTTTTGTTTGGTCTTTAACTCATTAACTGCCAGCCATTTTCAGAACAAACTGCCAGAGTTTTTTGAGCATTTTGACTGATTTTTCAACAGTCACAGAATAGTTTGTGCTATGATTATGTAAACACCGAACACACCAAAAGAAAGAGTAGACTCTCCTTTCACCAGGAAATTTTTTTTGTTTCTACCTTATTCCGTTCTTCCTCGACTTGCGTCTCACCGGCGACATGTTTTCTCATAGCGAAGTGGTACGTTTTTCTTATTTGCCTACAGTCTATGCTCATCTCCCATCAAAAGTGACACTGCCACCTAGAGGGTCAATTTGTTAGTACAAACTCTATCTAGAAGCCGATATTTACGGACAAGCTTTAGCAGATCGTCCCCCAACCACTCTCGTTGAAAAACATAAAAGACGTCTATAGACGTCTTTGGCAGTCAACTGTTGTATTTGAATTGACGTCTATAGACGTCTTTGGCAGCCAATGAGTTAAGCACCCTTTTGTGTCTCCTCTCTGACTTTTGTTGTTGGTTTCCCCCCCCCGAACAGTTAAAAGCGCTGGGTTTCCCCGAGGCCCTGGTGATCCAGGCCTACTTTGCCTGCGAGAAGAACGAGAACCTGGCGGCCAACTTTCTCCTCAACCAGGGACTGGAAGACGACTGAACGGGGGAGGGGGGGGCCGAGCGCTGCCTCCCCGCTCCTCCCTCCCTCACCTCTCCCCTCCCCACCCCCCCGTCCCCCAAGCTCAGCATAAAGACTGCGCCCCCACATTTTACTGTACAGCTACCAACCTCAGCCCGACCCAGCAGGGAGGGAGGGAAGAGCCACTGCGGGGGGGCGGGGTGGAGGGGGGGGAGGGGGGCGGACGAGGTGTAGGACGGTGGAGGAAAGGGATGGGAAGGGGGAGACCGAGGGTGGGTCACACTGGGATTATCAGAGGTGCGGGGGACGGAAGGGAGTGGACGAATTCTAAAAATCCACGTGAAATTCCAATGGAATGTGTGGGGGTTCGTTAAGGGGAGATCTATAATTTGATTTTAGACACGCTTTGTGAACATTAAGGGAGGGAAGCGATAAGAGCGGGGGAAGGGGGGGAGAGCGTGGGGGGGGAACGGGGGGGCGGCGGGGGGGGGGGGGGGGTGCGGCGAGTGTGTGCGTGTGTGAGTACATGTCCGTGTATGCCTGTGCCGATGGATGCGACGCAAAGAAAAAGAAGAAGTAAATCGATCTGGCACCCTCTAAGTTTGTTCATGCTGTAGCGCGACCGCACAGAAGCAGGTCCTCATCCACCGGCCGGTCTGTAAGCCTCACCTACATACGTCCACCAATGAAACGGGATGTGCAGACCTCTTTGTTTGTGGTTCCGGTTCCATCACTCCAAACTAACACCTGTTTTTTTTTCTGGTTATTCGGTTCCTCTCCGTACCATCCTCACCGATAATCAGGCTAGCTGCCGTTGCGTCCTTAAACGTGGAAGGTTTTTTTTGTTTGTTTGTTTGAAGCGATAACTGTAGTTTCTAACACAGTGTTCACAAAGAATCAAGAGAAAAACAAAAAAACTCCCACTGCCCAAGCTTGTAATTCTTGTTCCGAGAATGTTTGAATTCTCCACAGAGAAGGCTTTCAGGATTTCTGCCGGCCAGTACGAGTTCTTAAACGAGTCCATCCTCATACCAACACTAACGGCTATTTGTCCAGCAGAATTTCCAGGTAGACTAAATAATTCAGTGGCCACCCTTAAACACCATCCGAGCAGGACAGCACTTCCACAACAGCTGGACACATCTGTTGGTAGACTGCGTATCGACGTCTCTACAACGCGTTAACGGATTCAAATTGCACTTAGGAACATCAAAGAAACCTAAGTGAGAGATCAGGGAAGTTTCCATTGTAAAACACACTGATCCGGTAATCACCGCCCTGATCTGAGGAAGATTTGAATGACCAACCGGTTTTACATTACTCAAAACAACCTAACTGCTAGGAAAACTTGGGACGACACATATTTGTGATCTCTGTCCACCGGCACTGGAACGTCTTTTTCATGATATGGTACGGTTCGGTCAGTCTGCTTCTCCCCTTCGGTGTCTGTAGGACGGGATTTAAACGTTACCGATAACTCCATCGAAGGGTCCAAGCGAGCCTACCCAATATCAGGCAGTGGCGTCTAAACACTAAAGAGGGCTGGCCTGTCAGAGGAGTTTGCGACAAACCTCCATAACTGACGAAGTCTTTAGAAAGTCCGACATGAAAATGACGAAATCGATAACCGTAATCCAATTAAAGGATAGTGTCCGTAAGGCACTTCAAACCCTAACCACCACCCTACGTTGACCCTTAGCCTAACCTTGTGAGGGTACACCATGTAAAAGACAGAAACCCCTAACGGTAACCTTACGATACCCCCGACCCAGAGAGGGAAGACCGTAAACGAGAACGAAACCGTAACCCGGTTATGGGGTACTGTCTGTACATGAGAACTTACCTTAACTTTACGGTAAACCTGAACCCAACCCAGGGAGATAATCCTACAGACCGTGAGTCAAACCCAACTGTATCATTTAATGGGGAGTATATCATGGAAAGATCTCTACGAAACCGGTCGGCCGTAGACATTGGAGTGGCGAGAAGAGAGGTTCGAGTTCACGCTGGAATCCGAGTGGCCGGCTCACCACTTTTAGAAACCATTTGAAATCTTCAAATCAGGAGCGAACAGACCTGCGACGGGTCGGTCTGACCGCCATCACCTCGATACCCAGCCTCTGTGAACAGCATGCGCCGCAGACGGCTGCGGTAGAGAGCGTGGGATGGTAGAAGGCCGACCCGGGGGGGCCCCGTTCTGAATCTGTGTTCGCTTTGTGTCCCAAACAACGTTTAATCCAACGACCGGTGAGGTTGTAGCTGTGCAGATTTGAGCTCGAGAACAAATTCACCTTCTAAAAAGAGAATAAAAAAAGCATGGTGATGGTTAACGACGGTTACTCTAATCTGATTTATTCACCCAGGTAAGGAAAACCAACTTGTGAGCTAACTTGAGGTTGGCTTCATGTGCATCCACAAACTGTTGGGAAAAGGAACACCAAGAACATTCTCATTCTGTATGTGTGAAGGATATTTTTACTGACGGTTGTCCTACAGCATCGACGTGATCTTAGACTTTGCTGTGCTACATTAAATATCAGCAGTCTTTCAGGCCTCTGACTCCGTGTGCCTTTAATATCGCCGTCATCACAACCCAGCCCGCCCTGCCTGGTCAGAGGAGTCCCTCTAGTGGGGAAGATCCAGCCCATCTGTAAAAATGCATTTTTACATCGTGTTACATAGAAAACATTAGATACACTATATTAGGATTTCTGGGGATAACGGCAAAGAACGACCACAATGAGATACACATGAATGGATTATGTGGTTTAAGGGAAGGGGTGTCAGATTCAATAGAGGGATAAAATATGTTTAAAGATGTACTTCTGTGTATTTAAATAGTCAAAGTTTCTTTTGCTTTTGCAATGGTATCAATTCTATTTTGCAAATTTTCTTTAAAATGAAAACAAATGCATTCCGATTATGGTAGAGGAAATGACTGGGACCTCAACGGTGTATAATTACATTTTAAGACCAATAAGCACCTAGTTTTAGTACAAAAAGGGGGGGGGGGTGGAATGGCAAAGAACAGCCAATACTCGATTATAAACTATAAAAATATATTCCTTAAGATTCCCCATTTTTACCCCCGTTTATCATTTTTTTGTTGCAGTTTTTTAAAAGCAGAACTATGACTTGAATTTTCCTTCATCATCCCAAAATCTTAACAGATCAAAGGTTATAGAAATTCTAATCGTCTGCTTCATTTATTTAAATTTGATAAAAAATTCAAAATGGGCATTTTTTAAGAACCAAAATCTCAACATAATGTTCTATAGGCATTAAACTATAGACTTTGGAGACTTCACCTTGAGTTTACGTCAATCCACTCTTGAAGGTTTGTAAGTAAATTGACTTTTTCCTTGCTGTTGTACCATTTAGTTTCTTCACTTCTGTCTTGGGGCTCGACACAGATGTTCTGTGTAGAAGATCCAGCCAGTCTGTGCAGATTGTGTAGAGCCACAGATGTTCTGTCCTTGGGCCTTAGCCGGAATTAAAAACATTTCCTCCATGGCCATGTTTTTCAGAGGAACACCCACAGCATGGCGCAGCTACCACCATGCCTTATTAATATGGTGTCAGGTGTTCAGCAAACACGGCAAATACAAAAAGCTCCATCTTTGGCTGGTAACAAAGTCTCCTTTGTTATTTCAATTCTGAGGATGTTGAGTGAGACTTGTTCCCACTCCAGAGTTATTTGGGCTACTTTGCCCCTGGATTTGATTTCATTTTGTGGTCCTATGTGAACAATAAAGTAAAGTACAATTACAAAATAAAGTATTTTTTACCCAGGTTCATCTGGGGAAAAGCTCAGTTTAATTAGTTCTTAATATTAGACATGCTGAGGCCTTAAAAGCAGGGTTCTCAGACACCGGTGGTCAAGAGCTTCTGTCCTGCATGTTTTAAAGGTTGCCTTCAAATCATTCCCCAATTTGCAGACTTGTGAAGAACATATCAAACCTTTTGAAGGTGCAATCTAATTTAGGAGTGTAGAAGCAGCGAAGACGGAAAGATGCTTGAAGTTAGAGATCCATGGTTCAGTCTGAGATGTAGCTCTTGGGTCTTATGGAAATGTTCACTATTACACAGATTAGTAGCTGTTAAACTTTAGCTCCGACTAACAAATATTCTCTGAATGTTTAACAATGGACTCAAAATTGTTTTAAAATGACATTTTAACCATTCCCAGATTGCACAACAGCAACATCATCATTGTTGACGTCTGTCTTTGGTATTACGTCAACAGACTCTTAGTCATGGCATTGTCTCTTGTACAGGCCGGTTAAAATCAGTCATTGTTGATGAAGGGATTAACAGCAACCTGATTGGTTGCTGACTGAAGGACGATTTGAACCAAGGAAAAAGAAAAAAGTGAACAGTACAATAAGCTGCTCCGGCTTTTCTTAAATTATGTGAAAATGTGTCCATGTGATAAATATCAGGTCCAATTCGCCACATCGAACAGTCTAAGATTTTGTTGTCCGGGTCTTGACGGGAAAGGCTTAAAGCAGAAGGGATCGTCTTTACCACAATAAAAGGAGCAACCATAGAAATATGTGCATTTAATCTATAAACAGAAGAGGAATAAAAGTCAGACATTAAATAGTCTGATTCTGAACTAGCACGTTTCCTTTAGCTGCTACAGACACCCTCAAAGTAACAGACGTCGGCACTTCTGATGTTCATCTTTTAAGATAAATCATTTTTAATCATTTTAATAATATTATATGTTAATTGTTTTATGTTGTACTTTAGTGCAACAAGAACTAATTGTGTCTTGAGGCTATTTTTGTGTGTCTTAAACAGTCCCTTGGGTGTGTTACCGGATTAATCTCCGCTGTGGAAGCGGACGCAGGAATAACCAGAGCCAAACAAAGACGGTTACAGTCAAGAACATCCTTTTATTCGAGTAAAGGCATTGCTCTTTTCAAACTGCTTTTTATTCTTATTATGGAAAAGAAACTGTAATTAACACATGCATTTCACCACGGGCTCTGGGAGGTGCCTCTGAGGACGAGACCACTCCGTTTGGGAGGAACTGGGGCGGGCGGGGCACTCATGGTCAGCAGGCCTATGGGCCAGAGGTCAGCTAAGGGGGGTGTGGGGGGGTCACTAAATCACTAATCACGACCCAGCGTCCTACCAAAAGTGTTACAAACAAACCAAGCAAACGAAGAAAGAAAAAAAACTAAACTAAAATAACCAAAAAGACGTAAAGAAAGGGCGGACGGTTGGGTTGAGGGGACCGGCTCTCTGGACTCTACGGCTCTCTTTTATCTCTCTTTTTATTTATTGATAACACTGTTGCTGGCTTTGTTTGCTCGATGGAAGAAATAAAAAGTTGCATATACGTCCGCTCGACCAGATGGCGTTGGGTCACTGGTCAGACCGGCGGGATTGTGCTAAAATCTGAGCCGCCCAGTCCACCGGCTGTGGAACCACTCCGCTTTTTAAGGTGCTTTGATTGATTTTTTTTGTTTTGTTTTTTTAAAATGTCCCCTTTTTATCTTTTTTTTTGTTTGTTTTAAAACTGCTGGTCTCGCTCAACCTGCTAGAAAAAGGTGCACAATCGATGGCTTAGATGCAGCGTTTTAACAGCTGTCTAAGATAGGCAGTGGCAATAAAATAAAATAAAATAAAAAAGGATCAAAAAGCAAATTCAAATTCAGTTATAAAAACAAAATAAATAGATAGAAACAAAGGATTACAGACAAAACCCGCCTGGACCGTCGCCCGGTTCCAAAACCGTACGTTCCCATGAGTGCCGTGACCCCCCCCCCCCCCCCTCCCAGCTGCTCCCAGAGGGTCAGAACTCTCCCTGCCCCCAGTCCAGCCCAGAGCCCCCTGGTGTAACTTGTTCACTTACATTAGCTGTTGAATGGAGAAGCTGGAGAAGATGGGTATGGTAATACAATGTGAAGCGTACAGACAAGGATAACATGTGAGCTAACTGCATTCCGCTCAGACAAAAAAAGGTTTTTGCGTATCTTTTTTTTTTTTTTCCTTTTTATTCTTTTGTTTTTTTTAAACCCCGCCGTTCAGAGAAAGGGAGAAAAAGAGGGAGGGGAGGAGGAGGTTACGCGGCTACAGACTACTCCAGTGTCCAAGATAGACAGACGACAAGATACAGAGGAAGAAGAGCAAGACAGAAAATATCCTTTTTTTTTTTTTCTCCCAAAAACATTTTTCAGCTTTTCTTAGTTATTCAACAATAAAAAGAGGAACTAAATCACACCAATTTCCTTTAGTACTATGTATACTGCTTTAAAAAGCTCAAAGAAGAAGGAAGAGAAAGATATAGAAGTATGAAGGAGGGGACTTTTTTTTTCTTTTGAGATGGGCACTCAGGATTACAAGATGGAATCTGTGAACAAAAGGCACTTTTTAGGGACAACCTTTAAAGATGCTCTGAGTCTATAACACTACATCACCAAACAAATATTTATAATCATTTACAGCTGGCGGATGGGGAGGGAGGGGGGAGGGAATGAGGGAGGGGGGCGTTGGGGGCTGGTGGAGGGGGGGGGGGGGGGGGGGTTCATGTTGCAACTGAACGGATGATAAGAGCCGTCTGACCTGACCGAGGCCGATATTTAACCAAGTCAACGTTCCAACCCGATTTAGATGGAAAAGAAAAAAAAGAGATCAAATTCGCGTTTTTTTTTTTTTTTTAAACAGGGGTTCCGTGCTTTTGCATCTCCCAGAACTGGGGAAGATCTTGTCTTTGGCCCACTTTTTCGACGCAATAACGTCTTAACGGGGTTTAAAAGTCAGATGCTGTTTTTTCCGCTGTGGCTTTAAGGTTAGGGGGAGGAAAAATGCCTTTTGTTACAACAACCTTTTCACATACAACAACCCCCCCCCCCTCCCCTCTCCCTGGTAAATACAAAAAAAGAGAAATAGAATAATGCATGTTTTCCTAAAAATTTTTGCTTTTATGATAACACTTAATTTTGTTTATTATTATTTATGTATAATAGAGACTGAACGTACTTTATTCTTTATGAAAGCACCAGTTTTCATAGTGATATATATTTGTAAGTTGCGAAATTGTTCCTTCAGCCCTCCCACATTTTTTTTGTTGTAAATCAATAGAAATTACGTATTTTTTCTTAAAAAAAAAAAAAAGTGATGAAAGGAAGAAAAAAATTAGAATAAAAACAATGTCCCCAAACTTTTTTTTTTTCTTTTCTCTCGACGCCCTCGTATTTAGAGTCCCGGAGCAAGCGGACTTGAAAACAAACAAAGAAAAAAAACCTTAAGAGGGATTTTCTTTTCCCTCTTTTTCGCATGACACCCTCAAACAATCTCTAACAAACACAATTCCTCTACCAAGGCATTGCACATGGCTCAATCAACATACATCATTTAGTTTCAAGAACAATACTTCCCATCGAAACAATAAAGAAAAAAAAAACCTAATCTGCTTTCTCTTTTTTGTTTGAAATCCTTGACTACTTTTTCCTTATTCACCGTTTTCCTTTCTAACGTGTTCGCTATGAATTTCCTTATTTTAAATTCTCGTTGAATGCGAATGTGGGCTTAGACACTTGAGCTCAAATTGGCGGTTTTGAGATGCGTCCTATGACTGTGCGATGTATGCCATGCTTCAAAAAATAACTAGACTGCCACAGAGCTTATCTTGCAAATAAAAAAAAAAAGTATATATCTATAAATATATATGCGTATAATATATAAAGATGCTTGCGATTATCTAGTGAGCTGTCACGGTTTTGTTTTCCCCCTGCTGACATAAATTTTTTTCACCACTCGCTATAGCTTATATGTGAGAAAAAAGAACCTGAATTCATGTTTGACAAATTGCATAATGGGAATACAGAGGCACTTCCATAGATTAGAAAAAAGAAATGGCCGTAGCCGCTGTTGGCGTCTTACTCGGTGGAGCTAGTTCTCTCTACGAAGCGGATGAGATGTAGTGTTTCCCTGCAGCGAGGAGCGTGGCCAGGCAGTCCAGTTATTTTGTGAGGTGGTATGGGTGATCGGGTACGATGTTTCAAAAGGCTGAATGTGTTATGGGTAGATTCCGTAGAAAATGATCGAAAGCATTAAAAAGGCCTCCTCAGATTGTCAATTTTTTAAGACTTCCCTTTGAATTAAGTCGTGTGCGGGGGTGTGTGGGGGGGTGGGGGTGTTTGTTAATACTGAGTGGTCATCGGGTGGGCGATCTGTGCTCTAAGAGTTTTTCATCCCAATAACACGTCGGCTGATTTAAAACACAAGGTGGTGGTCAATATATATATATCGTCATGCACATAGATAAGGCTAAAAAAAACAAAAAAAAAAACGTTTTAAAAAAGATTTCAAATTGGCTGGCATGATTGTGATAGTGCAGTTTAATCCGTAAGAGCTTTTCCTTTCACGCTTGTCGAGAGGGGAGTGCTGGTGCCTTTGTGTGTGTCCGTGTGTGTGTGTGTTTGGGGGGGGGGGGTCACTGTAACGACCGCTAACTTTGACTCCAAAAACAGCCGGATATGTCACATATTCATTTTGCTCCGCGGCGTGGTCCGGCTCTGCTCTTGGAGCAGGGGCCCGTTCCGGGAGTGTAAACAAAAGGGTAAACTTAAGGGAGACAGACAGAAGAGCGTCCTCCTCTCTTTTACTCTGGGTCCCGTCTTCAGCAACCTTCCCTCCGTGATTTCTTGATAATTCATACGCGTCCTCCGCCACCGAGCACTAGCTAGACCTGGATCTAAAAAATAGATGCAAAAATCATTCTTTCTCATTACTTGATTAAAGAAAAAAAACTTCTTTCTTGACCCCATGTGGCTCATGAGGTATTTTCTCTTCCCGTGATTGTCAATACACTGCCAATGTAACTTTGAGTTATCCTATAGATGCTCCGGAACTGACACCAAGTCAACTTTATTAATGAAATATGTTTTGGAAAACTATTTTGGCAGACTACTTCTATTTTTTTTTCAAGGCTTGAGCTCCAAGAGTGCAAACTTCTGTTATTAGATGGGAAGTCAATACATTTTCCCCAGAAGCATTCCATTATTCAACACTGTATTTCCTTAAAATAAAACCAAGACCTATCTAATTCACTTTAACTGCTAAGATTCCATTCCACTGTCTGATGTGGGCCTTAATTTCAAAGCAAGAGCTAATGACAGTGCACATGCATATACTTGTATGTTTAGAATAGAATCAAGTGGAAATCATTTTCTTCCTATTGCCCTTTATCACTATCACTATCTGGTGTCAGTTCCAAACTTTAACGAAAGAGAGCTCCCTAAATTATTGAACATTTCCTTGCAACAATAATCCTTTTAGGTTCCCTAAAATATTAAAACCCCGAATCACGAGAGTCCATCGGAAACGAAGCTGTTGCTGCCACTCAAAAGAGCTAACTAATGGCTAATTTGGCTTAGCCAGGGAACTAGTTTTAGCTGTGTGTGCTAAAATGACGACAACAGCAGTGTCAGATAGCCCGGCTGATTGGGAACCAGTGTAACGCATGAAGAGAATACTGTCTATGCTGGGGGGAGTATTGGTAATCAGTAGAATTTAGGAGAGCCGTTTCTTAGTTTTCAGAGAAAGTCCCTAATGTAGCTAATCTTAAAAAATAGCTCGACTAGTGCATTCAAATTTAACTTTGATTAAATTGTGGTTTTAATTTGAGGAAATACTGTAAATGTGTAATGTTGTGAGTGTCACTCTACCAATCCACCTTTGTGTCCACTTATGGCTCTTTTTGGCAACAAACCCAATAAGCGACCAGTTGCTAGGTCCCATCTCCCTTAAAATTCTTTCAAACCATAGTTATTGTGAATACACTTACAAAATTCAACAGGATATACCCTGCTCTACCTAATAGCCAATTAGCTGCTGGTTTGCAGCTTCACGTGAGAGTGATATCGATCTCTAAAAAAAAGTTGAGTGCGACTATTTCAGTTTTTGCATGCATTTCTTGATCTGGGTTAGCCAATCGCCTCAACATATAGCTTCTCGTTGCGTTTCTCTTTAAGGTGCTGTCATTCGAGTACAAAAAACAATTTAAAAAACAGTACAAATAAAAAAAGGGACTATATTCAAATAGGGGAAAACACATGGGTAAATCACCTATTCGCCTCCATTTCCAGAGGGCGGATAGGGAACCGATTGCTACTGCTTTTAGTGGTGAGAAGTGTCAGTGAGCATGCAGTGACACCCATTGTGTCCACGATGCCTGGACTGCTTACCCGAGATGGAGGGATTTTGCGGGGCTTATTGTGTCTATGGTGAAAATAGAAAGAGAAATGCAGAAACACCATCTATAAATACTACAATCTAAATGGTGAGACGGCAAATACATAGATGTGCGTGTGTGGGGTGCGTGTGTATTTTCATACGTGCTTTCGTCGTGGCACTGACAGTGTGTGAGCTTTCTGAATGAGGGGGAGACTTATGATAATGAATGGAGGCCAGTGATTGGCTGAAATGAACAATAGGGGGACTGAAGAAAGGCTTCTTGTACCATGTATTTTCCTCTTTAGAGCATTCGACAGGCAAGTCTTACCTTCCATGCCTTGTAGGTAAATAGTGCACATCATTAAGGTTAGTGTTAACTGATTCAGCTTGTAGTGCAACCCTTAATTGAGATATGTTTCAGCATGGTCTTGCTCGTTAGTCGTAGGATGAGAAGAGGTTCTGTGGAGTTGAGGGTCAGTCGGAGGGTTGGAAACGTTCGGCCAATTCGATTCCGTTTTGGGCGATGAGACTGCAGGAGCGTGGACTGCATCTTTCACTGGGAAAACTATTGTCTGATTGGGCAAATGGCTTCTGATGATCCGCATTTGCTGGACAGTTGATTTTCGTGGCCGTTCGTCGCACAGTGTGTCCTCACAGAGACGGAGAAGCCGACTGCTTCCGCGTCCCGGGGTTTCCTCCTGTGCCACTGCCGTGGCGTGCTGAGTCGGTGGTTGGAGGAGGCCGGCTTGCTGCTTTCTCTTTACGTCTATCTCTCGACCTAACGTCCGTTCATTCATCTTTCCTCCTATCCATCTCTGCTCAAATCGGGTCCTCCCTCTGCCTGCGTAATGAGGTCCAGAGTTCCACTGAAACCGTCATGCCGTAATAATTTCCTGTGTTGCTCGGTTATGTTTCATATCAGGTGAGACGTACTGTCAGGGTCAGTCGGTGGGCTGGTTGGAGGACAATTCTTATCATCCTGCGGGTTTTTTCGCTGTTTTTTCTTCTTTGTGTTGTTTTTTTTCATTTTCGATTGTAAAGAAAGAATTCTACTTGCTGGTTTGTACACAGGTCTTGTCAGAGGAACCAAGACTGAAAAAGAAAAGGGGGAGAAAAGAGGAGAGACTGTAAATATCACAAGCCAAAACATGTTCTAAATTGTAGTCTTGGTCATTTCAAATATTCCACCAACAAATACAGTGTTGTAGTTTCTCAGCTGCTTGTATAAATGCTTGATAAAATGCACTAAAAATCTAAAAAGAGAAGAATATAAAGGCTATCTTTAAAAAAGTGATTCTCTATACTATGTATGAGCAGTCAGTGTCTTGCAAACAGAAGACAGGGAAGGATTTGGATTGAGGAATTAAGCTAATGGTTGTTAAGAATGCAGCTTCAGACGAGAACTTTTTCCACATCTGTACTCCAAAAACATGTATAAACCTACTTTTTAAAAAATTGGCTATACCGGCAAAAAACAAGTCTATGAAATCCTTTCCTGGTTTCCCAGTGGAGGTGCATCTCTTCGAGTTGATAAAGAAACTATCACGAAGGTCCCTGCCCTGAACCCTGTGGGCTCTCATTTCTGATAAGCATGTTTTCTAAGATAGATGATTCTAACTAAATAATTTGGCTGATTTAATACTAAAGCCAAAATCACGATAGTAAACACTTCATATTTACTAAAGCAGCTAAAAAAGCTACCCGACAGGTCTGACATAACTTCAGATGACTCAGGAGGGTTTTGCTGAAATTCTGAAGTTATGGACTGACTGTTTGCCACTTGTTGAGCCTCGATAACAGGACAGTTATAAAAATGCAACAGGGGAGCCACAAAGACACATCTGATCCTGTAAACTAATCATAAAATGGCTGCTTGGCTTGTTGTTTTTTTGTGTTTGCGGTTATGCTGAGTCTCAGAACAAGTCTGCCCAGTTCAACAGAGAAGAACAGGGCATCTCGAGTTGGGATGAGCGGTAAACAGCTCATTATGGCCCAGCAGCAGCAGGATGAGAGCAGTCTGGCGCTGCCAGTCCTGTGCGCCACCTTCCTGTCGGGTGTCTCCCGCTCAGCGTGGACAGAGAGCACAAACGGGTCAGCGCCGCTGCTGTTGGCTGCCCCGCTTGGCCTGCAGGATCTGGCACTGGGGGAACAGTGAGCCAACATTCTACAAGTCAAGCCTTGGAAACTACTCTGCGCCTCCAGGGAAGCCGCCTTTTGTTTTGTCTGACTCTAACAGGTCGCATGAATACCACCCCTCCCCCCCCTCGTCCTGCCCTTCCCGGCTCCCCTGCTCCCCTGGGCACTGTCCCAGCAGGCCGTGGGCATTGTAACTTCTCCATTCTTAGTTACTCTGCTTCTCTCTCCTTCTGTGTGTGCTTTTACAAGCACACACGATCCATCTATCTCTTGTGAACACTCCCACTAAATCGCTGGCAGCAGACAGTGACCACCCTCTTTTCTTTGCTGGCCCCCTCTCGAACAACCTCCTCTCAAATTCAAGATCAACTGGCAATGACATCATGTCTGGTTGCTGGGGGTAACGAGACGACCAGGACGTGCCTTCTATATGGGCAGAAAACTCGGTTCCCTCCATTTCCCTCTTCTTTTTTTTGTTGTTGCATGCACCGTTGGCATCTTTAGTCTCCACTCTCCTAACTACGAGAACCCTCATCGACCACTAGAGGGCACAATGTCCCCACTGTTCTGTGAGAGCTCAGTTCTTTCCCGTCGGACGCCTAGACACCACGTAGACACTTTTTTGGTGGACATTTAGAGACATATGTTCGCAAACTCTGAGATAAAATGTTCGTCTACTTCAGAGTTCAGAACTTTTAAGCTTCTCATGTGGAGATACACTCAAAGACAAAATTCCCAACCTTTAGAGGACTTCATGTAAAAAAAAAAAAAGAAGGTATTTAGTGTATTCCTATTGAAACTAGGAGAATAACAGAGCTAAAGTGGGAGAGGGAGTAGAGACTGAAGTGAGAAAGATAGCAAAAAGAGTTAAGGAGAGTGTAAACCAGACACAGGAGTAGAAGAGGGAAGAGAGACAGAGGGAGTGAGCAAAGTGTGGAGAACTAAGGGAGGGGATCCTCGGACTAGTTTTAGATGGCTTCCATGTGTTGTGGAGCGGTGCTGAGTTTGCTCCAGGCGGGTGTGGTTGGACACTAATGAGAAAAGTGCTGGTAGTAATGGAGGAAGCTCATGAACGAGGCACAGAGGGGCAAAGAGAAGGAGCAGGGAAGGGGAAGAAAGTAAATGAGGGAAACTTAGCGAGGAAGAGAGGAAAAGTAGCAGAAGAGGGAAGAAGAGAAGGCAGTAAGGAAAAAAGGAGCTTCTGCCTTAAGAGAGGGCTCCATATGTGCCAAAAGCTGTCGGTGTATAAGGTAAAATACACATGTACAGTAAAACGCAGGCATATCGTGCTCTGTGGTCTGCTCTGGGGAGAGAGGCACAGAAACCCCAGCAGCTGCTTTTCAGGGAGTGAGGGAGTGGGAAATATTTTGGATTCCATCCACACAGTTAATAAGTTTCCTGAGTTGGAGCGGCCAGATGCAAGTTGCCAGCGTGCCCCCGAACCCTCACCTGCGTCTGCTGCGGGATGTTCAGAAAGTTGTTGTCCCGTGATCCGATGCCGACAAACCTGTTGGGAGCTGTGGTGCCTGGCGTGGAGTATGCTACAGAAACAGAGCGACACAGGACATCAGTGACCATTCGGACAGCAAGCACTGCAAGAGTCTGCGGAGTCTTTACAGGAAGGTACATTTTGGCTCAAAGTCAAGCGTGAAGACTGATATTATTCCCTGGATAAAGAAAACGCTCTTGTTAAAAGGATGCTCCTTTGGCTTACCTGGGCTCAACTTTAGCCTGGTTCAATCCAAAGTTATCGACGTCAGTCTATCAACACCTCCAATTTCAATAAAAATCTGTCTACATACCTCATTCATTAAATAGTTACAATATAATTCTAGATATCATTTAAAAATACGTACATTTGGAAAAATTTCTAAATCATTTCAAAACTACAGAACACACTGAAGTTATTTCTTAGTGTGACCCATTCTAAATGTCAGATGTGTTCTATATCTGTAAATTAAATTATGCCTCACCTCTCACATTCATAGGATTAACCATTCATTCATCTATTTACAGCCGACATCCAAAGAAGAGCTTTGGGATGTCCTTTAAGAAGTCTGGAGAACTATTCCTGAAGACCACTTCAAGAAAAGACGAGAAAGTGTTTCTATGAGAGTTCCGGTTCTGTTGGAGAATAAAGGAGCTCGGACCAAATACTGAGTTTCAAGTTTGTCACTGAAATTCCATTTCCAATCAATTCCAGCTCCCATTTCATATTTTCGTAGAAATTGTTTTGTGCAGTATAATAGCAGTCACACACCTTAATGTGTGGCTTGTGGCGGTGCTGTTTCAGTTAGCTAGGTCTTAATATTCACCACATAAACATTTTGGACAAAAAATTTTGCTTTTTTAAAAAGTTTGTTCAATCTTCTCAACTAACTTTGGACAGCAAAGCAAGAATTACAAAAACTTGCCGCTGAAACTTAAAAAAAAAGGCCTTAATCTAATGGATCACTGCTCGTGAACAAAGTTAGTTTTTAAAAAAACTACTGTGACAGTATATGATTGGGGTCATTAAAACCCAGTGGTAATGTTTGGCATAATCTGATATGCAAGCTAAGATCTCCCAATGCGATTAGATGGAGACGGTAAACACGGCTGGAAATGATTGGGCGCCGCAGAATCTGAACACCAAGGATTCAGTCGGGGACATTTAAAACCCACTGGCATCAACGTTTCTGACAAATTTAGGGCAGTTTGAGGCATCCCGCGGACTCCTGAGATCGAATCCCACTAAAGGATTCGGGAAAGCAGTGTGCCGACTTGTGCGTGTCTGTTTGTGTGGAGGAAAGGAGTCGGAAGGACAGGGATGAGAGAGACAGGAAGGGAGATAAAGTATACATCCATGTGTTTCTAAGAATTAGCATAACATACAAAAGACATAAAAGACTTTCAGACGCTGACTGGGGGATAAAATGAAAACACTAACTTTGAAGGAGAGCTTAAAAAAGAACAAAAAAATAATAAGTGCTCCATCCAGTGCCCCTCTTATCAAAACCTTTAAAGAGCAAGCCTTAACTGCTCACCCTGTTCTTCATCTGGAACATTCGCCAACCTAAAACATCCTGTCCGAAAGCGATAGCAGCTAAAAGACCAAATTCTAAACTGATAAGGATAATGACTCCACCAGTGCCCTACTTTTTGTTTTGAGTCCATATAAATCAACTGCCCTAAATTTGTGTCCCTCACAAGCCAGAGTCAATCAACATTCAACTTCTCGACAGCTTTGGCGATGGGTCCAGCGGGGGAGGACGGGATGATATAAGAAGAAGCGGAAAGAGAACGGGGAGGGGACTTCCGTTGCGTTAGTCCAGGACAGGCCTAAAGGACGGAACCGATCAAACTCCTATTAAAGAGCCATGCCGAGTGCCACCGAGGTCCATAGGCACTGATCCTCAAACCTCCGGAAGCCTTCATTAACTCCAGCTTGTGTCGTCATCCCGCGCTGGCTTCTAGAGCCTTCCGAGGGGGAGGGAAGGGGAAACGCTAGGTACACAGATATGGCACCAAGTCTGAGGAGGACCAGTGACACGGGAGGGTTGGGGGCTGTCTGACTTTAATTTCTTTGTGTTGCTTTTTTGTTTTGAGATTCGGTCTCTGTGGGGTCACTTACACGGAGATGCGGGCGAGGAGAGTCCGCCGTCAGGGGGCGTGCTGTTGGGTTTAGAGTCGGGCATGGGGAGGGGCACTGGGCGGGCCACTGGGGGAGGTGGAGGCAGCAAGAAGGAGCCTGGCATTTTGCTCTGGCCGCTCCCGTTTGGCTGCGGACAACACAAATAGGGTCAGGAGGGCGACATGCGACAACCCGCAGACACGGAATGGAAACAGGACGCGGCTCGACAGGCCGGGCCCAAAAAAATATCCATGACGGCGGGAGGGGGGAGCGATGGTGCAAAGAGGTAGTGGAGGGGGGTGGGAAACGAAAACTAAAGAAATGATGTATGTGGACGGCATCAGTCATGAAGGTGTGGGGAAATAATAGTCACCAAAAGGATTGATTGGGAAGCGGATCCTGGAGCTGGAGGTGGTCCGTGTCAGGTGGGAGGGGGGGGGGGGGGGGGGGGGGGGGGGGGAGTGAGCAAATTATTCGACTGGGTTCATCCAGCAGATGGCAAGAAATCAAAAACCATGGGAGAAAACTCGTCTACACAATCACAACACCACCAACGGCACCAGCACCAAACAACCAAACTCCAACTAAAATCGGATCGGCTAGAGATGAAGAACAGAAAGACGATGACACAACACAGGGCGGGAATGCTTGGCTGAAAGCGTGCCGTGACGGATTCACTCTTGTGCTGATGGTTGTAACCTCAGAGGGGTTGGGTGGAGCAAAAGAATATTAATTTAAAAAAAAACAAAAAAGAGCAGGAGCGGGGTAACATCAGGGTCTGAAACAGGAGACGGCAAAATGACAACGACGAGACAATACAGAGATTTCTAGACCGGCTGGCTCAGCGAAAATCTAATGTGTGGCTCCTGTGTGGCTGGTTGTGTTTGTGTCTATGGTGGTGATGGGCACATACTGCTAAAGCTGCTTTAGCATGTGTCCAACTTCATGTAATGAAACGTAAACCAGATAACTGTGAGTTATTACAGCAGCTTGGTGCTCTTTGCTGGTGGACAAAAGGACGTAGAGGAAATCCTATATGAAATTTAACCACGCAACCATTTCCAACCATTTCCCCTTTGCGCAACTTCAAAAACTAAATTCAGGCACCAAAATTCAAGCTTCATACTTTCACATGGATTCATGTTTTATATCAAATGTTGTCTAATCAAGTCTTGTTCCATCAGTAATATTAAAAAAGGAAAAAAAACCTGATAGACTGCTTTCTTAATTATTACATTTCCTTAATCTTCAAAACGTCTTTTAAACTAAATATCTTTAGTATAATAGTGGTTAAATTTCACATTTGGTGCACACTCGTTTGTAAAACTGTGGACACTTGTCTGCTGTTTTCTTCCTTACATCTTCCACCAGTATATTTTGTCTACGTTTATTGAAAATCTAAGTTTCATCCATTATTCTTTAGGCTAAAAGGCTGAATCTATGTGTCTCTTCATATTTCATAAGGTTCGTCTTCGGGTGGCGACTGTCCTCCTTACTGCTGGTGAGCCTTACCTGTCCGGAGGCCTGCCCCGAGCCATCGGCACAGACGAACTGCACGAATTCCTTCAGGGGGTCCTGTCCAGGGTGGTGGTGGTAGCGGATGGTGGGGTGGGTGAAGTAGGGGCTAGACTGCTGGATGATGGAGGGGGACGGGAAGTGCAGGGCCGAGGCGGACGCGCGGGGACTCCCTGCAAACACAGAGGCTTGTTTCAGACGGACACGGGCAGAGAGAGATAGGGCCGGCCAGAACCGAGGAGAACCGTTGAAGAGAGGACAGATGAATTAGGTGATTAAAGGGGTGACAGCGAGAATGCCACGAACAGGAACAAAGAAAGAAGACGCGATTCAGACTCAACACACACACGAACGGATTCAGTAAAAGCCGGCGCTTCATTCGGATCCACGACATTTGAGATATCCTCGGAGTACCATTTTAAATGAGCTGTTGTAAATGCCTGCTCGCCTTTGTGCTGTTCTGAGGGTGGGACTCACTCGCATTGATGCAATTTGGCATTCGCCTGGTAAAGATGCCTTCTCTGACCCAGCAGATCTGTGCATACATTTAAAATCCTAAGTTGATGTTTTCCTGTTAAATAACATATTCAGCCAGGAATCTGCAATTCTTTGCTTTTTATGTGAGGAGGGATGGGGGGGTAGGGCCACTTGATCCGAACAGAGTTAAATGTACTTATAAGCTATGAGAGCGGAGCAGTTGGTTGAGCCCTTCCACACCAAACATAAAGCCCTTTCTTCAAGACCGATATCCATCCCTAAATCTCCTTGTTGCATTAGGAGCCCGTCCTTTTCTTAGCCGTGCCAGTCTGACACCCACCCAATCCCGTCAAGATCTCCAGCTGCCCGCGGTGGGCTGCCAACAGTCTTTGGTGCTTGCTGCATCTTATACATTGTAAGTGTACTTCATGAGGGTGCCAACCCTGCTGCTTTGACCCCCCCCCCCCCCTCCAGACAGGGGCCTATGCCTCTGAGCCCAGCAGCAGTGTGCTTCCATGCCAGGCTGCCTGCTCCCAAGTGAATCTATCTCCCTGCTCCTATAGCTCCATATTAATCCCATTAGACACTGGGTGAAGGCCAAGAGCAGGGGTATGGGGGCAGGTTTCGGGGTTGAGAAGCGGTGGGTGGGGACAGTGGTGGGTAGGAATCCCTACACCCCTTTCCCACTCTCAATTCCCTCCTCAGCCCTTATTTCCATCTTGTTTTGTTCCGTTTGTCCCACCGCCTGGCCCAGACTAACCAAAGCATCCCTTTGTGGATGCTATCAGTTCTCATTTGACATGAGAGTAATACAAAAGCCTTGATTTTCATTTGTACCGTCGAGTGTTCAGAGCAGTCTTCTATGTTCACTGTATCGGTGGCAGCAGCTGGAGACTACTCCCATTCAAAAACAAGCCTTTAACCACTTAAACCATCAATTACTTTCCTCTAACTAGTGTAATGTTTGTCCATTGAATGGATATTATCTTATATCATGCATATTATGTAGCTATTATTGAGTTAAAATATTCAGTATGAAATTTATTTTTGGTCAGTCCCTTGTATAATTGTGCACTTTCACCATTTAGCTATAACACTTTGCTTATTACCTTAGCATCTATTAATTACTTTTTGTTAGATTATAGCTTTGTGTTAGTTTGAGACAAACTAGTATAATATATTGTTGCTGTGGCTATTTGTCTTTTCCCATCAGGGGTCGCCAAAGCCCGTCAGACTTGACTGGCATGGTAGGTTTGGCAGGAGTTTATGCTGGCTGCCGCTATTGACGCAACCCTCGTATTTATCCAGGCCTGGGACAACACAAACAGGACATTTGAGGCTGCAATGCTGGGTAAACATCTTGACCAAAGACACCTCGAGGTGTAGCGTGGGATTGAACCACGGACCAATCCACTGGCAGGAAAGTGCTCCTACCTCAAAGCCTCAGCTCGCCACTAACTTCTACATTATATAGTCCTTATATTTGATAGCTTTTAACTGTATTACCATTACCTTATGCTGTTTCACTATTTGGCTAATTAACTTTTCAATAAATAAGACTTTTTTCATAATATTTAAAAAACCACTGTAACATGCATTTATCATATCTAACTAATCTCCATTTCTAATTTCAATGCCTTGTAACCATCTCCACTTTTTAGCTATAACTCCCAACTCCATATTCATACATTATACTTCGCTGACTATTTAAAATTATTCAAACTACAAATTGGTTTGACGTTTATTCATTAGATTCTTAACCATTTTCACCATTTATCCATGCCAGTGGTATTTCACCATTTAGAAATGACTCATAACTACCTATCTATCTACCTACCTATGAAGCATTTTTACCCCAAGTCATTTCACTCGGTTTGTTTAAACCAAGTGATCTGTTTGTGCTTAGTCCCTACTTAGCCATTCGTTTACCATTTGTAAACATTTTTGTTGAAATACTTGAGCTATTCAGTATCTCTAGCAAATATTTTAAATCATTTAAGGGTTTTAGGGTATTGGCCCACACTATCTTCAGTAGTCCAAGCACTTTTAATGTTTAAACATAGTATTTTTTCTGTTAGTTGAACATATTGGCTTATTGTTTGATAGCCAAGATACATTGCCTTGGTACAACAGCTTTTCACCTAAGGGCTTCAAAAATGTTTCCTTGAAGGGGCAAATGGCAAAACATTTTCAACATCAAAAAGGTTTCCGATAAGAGCCGGATAAATGTAGAACTGGTATGGCAATGAGTCATGGCTCCAGTTTGTTCTTCAAAGCCCCTTTTTTACTGTCCTTGAATCTCTGCGTTTCACACAGAACAACAATGCTGACGATGTGGTGAGCACGTTCCCCGCTAATATGGCCCAGATCCCTGCGTGCACACCGCTGACGTCTGTGTGGAGAGAAATACCTCAAATCTGCATAAAGGGAAACTACTGGAAAATTAAAAAATGCAACACTGTACGTATGAGCGTGGAGTGCATATATGCACGAGTGTGGAGATCAGATTTGCTGCAGTTACATCTCAAGAGGGACAGGGTCTGTCAACAACCGCAGAGGAGGGTTTAATGACATGGTGGTCAACCCCTTAGCCTCACATCTGCGCGGTGGCTTAAAAAGCCTTTGATGTAGCATTGCTACAGAACTAAAGCACATGGGTAATTATCTCCACCGAGCTCCTTCACCGGCTGAATTTACGAACGAAAGAAGAGAAAGTCCCCGAGTCAGTCTGTGCGGTGGTTTGAAAAATTAAGTGATTATGATTTATATTTGAGGCTTTTTCGGCTGTGATTTATATCTGAGCTGCCTTGTGAAGAGTCAGCTGGTACACCCAGCAGCTCAGACCAAAGACTAATGACCGTACGCTGGCTCTTCTCAGTATGAGTAAAGACGTACTAAATCGAGAGTTGCCACACCGCAAAGAACAGCAAGTCGGTGTAAATTCTAAAGGGAGCAAAATGAGTCAAAACAGAGCTGTAAGGTAAATGATAAAGATTCATGGTTTGATGGGTACACTGCTGGGGTGCACACAGAAATGAAAGGCTCCGACTCCTCTTGAGCACTGTGCTGTGTTCACAGCATTCATCTTCTGGATTATTACGTGTCCATGCGTTCTGGGTGGTAATCTCATTAAATGAAAGCACCCTGTGGCTAACTGGGATGTCACCAAGACCTATTTTTAGGCCTTCATTATGTCAGTTGATATTGAGCATGTTCCTCTTGGTTTAAATAAAACTGCAATTCATCATATTACCATAAAACCAACTATGAATATAAAGATGATCCCATTCGCCCGCTTGCAGCTGGGCTTTATTGAGCATGACAAGAGTACTGGTGACAATTATTGGGAATATGTCTTTGGAATTGATAGGCGACCGGTTAAAAAAGACAAGTCAAATCAAAGCAGGGCGACTACCATGCAAAAACATTGACTTGACAAGTCCACATTGACATATCCCTGTTGGCAGCATCACAAAAAGTTATCAGGGTAGCTTTATTTATGCTTGGTAGTTCCTGTAAAATCTCCTGCAGAGAAGAAATCTCAAAGACTACGATGCTTTTCTTTTTTTAAGTTCACATCAGGGGTTGGATTGATGGAGGGACCTTTAAAGGCGTACACACAGAACCAGTGAGCATGTGTTGTCCTTTTTGGGTTTCCTGTCACAGGAGGAGAATGTGAAACATTTATTTAAAGACACATTCTTTATTTCTTTAAAGTTCCTTAGACGTAGAGCTGCAAAATCAGGGAAGAGGAAAAAAAATGTCAGAACAGGCAGAAGCAAAAACTTTATTACTTTAAGAAGGAGTCTGAACTCCAGAAAAAGTGCCAACTATTCACCGAGGAACAGGCCCCAAAAGATCCACACACCACACACAAACTCCCTAGAAGCTCCATCACCAGCATGAGCCGCACCCTACAGGGTCAGAAGAGGAGGCAGAGGAGGAGGCACACACCTAGAGAACAACCTGCCAGCTTTATATTCCCAGCCGCTTTCCTCTCCCAAAGACAGTGCTCCCACCTCTAAACCATTGGAGGGGGAGGGGCAGGATCCCTGAAAAGGGTTGGAGTGGGTAGGAGGAGATGGTGAGGAGTGGAAGAGGAAGGGGTTGGAGGGGGGAGGTGGGTGGCGATCAGCGGGGGGGTTTGGGAGCTGGGTTGGTCTCACCTGGTCTCACTCCCGCCAACATTGGCAGTGGGTGGTGGGTGAACGCCATGCGGGGGGACCTCGTCTGGGAGGACAGGGCGCTGAAATCGAATTTCCCCAGCTTCTTATGAGAACCAGGCGATGAGAGTCCTGGCAAAAAGGGGATCAACAAAATGGCAGAACAGAGACCAGGTTTTAATCAAACACAGCTGCTTTTCTTACTTTGACTCTACTGAAAAAATAAAATAAATAGATTATGAAGAAATTTATTTATTTATCAGACTCCTCAAATTTGACTACAATCAGATGATTATGATTGAAATCAATGGATTGATCTATTGATTCATTCATTGATTTGTTTGAATTGCTTAACATAAAGATGGGATCTCACAATTTTTTTTGTCCAAATGCTCTTTGTTTGTGTACAGTTGGCGGGCTGTACTATGTCCATTAGATTAAGGAGGGCTTGTGGGTAAGGGTCTGGTGAGAGGCCATGTTTTGAAGCAGCAGGGGTTCAGAGTGAAGGGGGTTGGAGGGGGGAAAGGCGGGGTTGTTGGGTAGGGGAGGGTCAGGAGGCCAGGGGCACGGTGTCAGGACAGAGGAGAGCTGGGAAATGCCATGGCGGTCATCACTGAGCACAACAACAACACAACAAATCCACAACAAATCCACGTTTTCTTCCTCACGGGAAGAACCCCTATGATGACACTATCTTAAATCACAGCGAAACACAATGTTCCCTGAGCCCAGGGCAGCTACAGAGAGATACAGAAACCCGGTCAGACAACTCGCCTACTCAGCGCACTTGTCAGGAAGCCTCTTCAGAATGAATGGGATTGCGGATGGCCTCATATCATCGGCAAACTGTGTTCTCAGCCTAACGCCAGCACAGCCAGCGCGGCCACTGCTGAGGAGCACGCCAAAACACACATCAATGGATCCTCTGATGTCGTGTCCTCCTGCATATCTGACAGTAAGGCATTTAATGCTAGCGCAGTATTTCATTCAAAGCGCCTGAAGACTCTCTCTCTCACACACACACGCGCATACACACTCAGTCACACAAGCTGTTCGGGCTGGGTGGCACACACTGGGCGCGCGGCCAGTGAAGGCTAGGTGGGAGAGCTGTAGAAAGATGGAAGAAGTTAAGCGGGAGAGGAACAGCGACGGCATGGCCGGCACACAAAGACAAACCTATTAAAGTGTCCCCCCTCTGTCTAGAAATGTAGAAGGAAGATGAAGTCCTACATGAAGTATCGCTCAGTTTGGTCAAAGGAAAAAAAGGAAAGAAACAGGCACATTAAGTATAGGCCCGGCTCACCAGTGGACCAGAAACATGGCCAAAAGTGTGAGAGCCACAGATAAAAGAGACTCTATTCTGTGATCAAGGCTTCGCGTGGTGAGTGCTGAGGGAACTTATTTTGATGTATGGTAATCCAAAGGCACAATTTAAACTATCTGGGTTTGAGGTGGAGCACAAAATGGTGTGCCTGACCTCGGCTGGGAGCCGCAATGTTGAATATTCACAGCAACGAAACTCTGCAAAAGAACCTCCATTAACCAGAGAGCAATGAGCGCTAAACAAAGCGTAGAGAAGTGCATCAGCATGGACACAGAGACCTGGGTACTTTTCTCCACAACATGTTGGGCTCCGGTTTTGTTGAAAGAATACAGTGATAAACAAGCTTGGTGAGCAAGAGGCCCATAAACTACTAAACGGCACAATATTCACACATATAAAACAAACACAGTCAAATAAAGATGTGGGTAATTTCAACATGGCCCAGAGAGATGTGGAAATAGATTTTATGAGCACAGCGTTTAAAGTCTGGCAGCAGATTTCTGAAAAGACTGTTGTTGTTTTTTTATAAATGCCACACTGGGAAAAAAAATTCCCCATTTACCCACAATGCTCAGAGTCACCGTGGATGCAGCTGTGCATGTGTGGGCATTGATAAAGAAAAAGGTGGGTGCTGGAACCTATGTTCAGCTATGCACGTCACTCTGAATATGGGAGGACACCAACAGACATTTTATCTCCTGCTAAACATAGCAGACATATATTTAAACAAATCAACATACAAAAACTGAAGTCAGTTAATTGACTATGAGCAAATTCCAAATAGGTAAAAAGACAGATATTAAAACTACACGAAAAGAGCAGAGAAAACAAATGTCTGAATAATTGTGGCTAATTTTAGAACTGTTGCCGAGAGATGTTTCTCAAAACGTGTTAAAACGCTTTGGTGAAAACTGCTGTATGCATCATTGCTTTGCTTCAAAAGATGACTTATAAATACAGCATGTTTCATACTTATTTGTTGCCCCATAACTGTAGATTGGAGGTCTTGCATTAAATCGAACTATTTTGTCAACTCCCCAAACTTCCAAAAGCTTGCCACTGGAACTTTAGTTTAGAAATATACCAAATTAGATCATTTTTCCATAAACAAAATCTCAGCGTTAACATTAGCTGATGAGAAATGCCCTCACTCAATGATGGTATGCATTGGATGGCTTTCCGTTTATTTCCTAAAATGAATACTGACATAAAATAGTTGGAAGATATTGATTTGTCATTATAACATTTCATGACTTATGTCGTATGAAAGTTGCTATGGTTACTGAAAACTTTCTTACAGTAGGAAATAGTATCAATTTAGAATTTCACATTTAGGATGTCTAGTTCTTATCTAGATTTTATGAGTTTATTACCGCATGAATGCATTTTTATTTAATAATTAAAATGATTCAAATTTACACCAAAGATTGGGACCTTTGGGAGATCTTTTTCCCCAACTGTATTTGGCTGAACAGGCAGAGACCGAACAGAAATCGCATGTTCTTCTATTATTTGTGCAAAATCATCTAAAAATCAGTACTTGATTTCTTTCACCTTGAGGTGTGAAGGAATATATAATAAAAACAGAGCAAAGTTTGGTGAAAAAACACAAAATATATCACATTGCACAATGGGAAATGTAGGATCCAACTTTTCTGTGACAATCTTTTCTAGAAAAGATTCTCTGATTATTTGTAACCTTGCTTTGATTTTCATCTGTTTGTTTAAAGACATCCATTTCCATGTGGCATTTAGCTAATTTGAACAGACCCTTATAAAACAAATTATGTACATCCCAACATGCTCCACACATTAATAACTTCCACATAGCGTGCTTGGTTCCAGTTCCTTTGTGGCCCATACAGAGATGACTGAGAACCACCGTATCCCAACGTCAATTACAACCAGCTCATCGTGCATAAACAGCCTTACATTATACATATTGTTTTCAGTCCCTCTGACGTTCCCTAATTAGTCACTATCTCTGTGAAATATCTGGTAATATGCGGGTTCTCAGTGAATAGCAGCAAATGAGGCCCAGATGCCCGGTGGAAGCTTTGTCTGATCAAGCCAACAGAAGTTACTCTGATCTATCCCTTAATCTGCGAGTGTGTTTGAGTGGGTGTGCGAATGCGTGTGTGAACCTGCGCTTCTACACAGACACATACACGGTTGTTTGTTCTTCATTATTTCTATGTCCTGGTCCTGGCACGCTGCACGGGCTGCCTGGCGGCCTGGCGGCCAATTGCTCCCATGACCCCGTAGTGTTGCCACGCTAACAAGCTGGCGACCGCACAAACTGTAACCGAACTGCTCCGCGGGTACGTGCACACAAACACACACAGGTAGTGAGGAGGGAGAGGAGCTCCCGCTCCTTTTCTTTCAGGTGAGCAAGAGACAACAGCAATTTGCATTCCGGAGTCGCATTAGCACTCGTCAGAAAACAGAGCAAAACAAAAAAAAGGATGTTGTGTCAAATTCATTTATAGATGAGCAACAAAGCCTCTTCTCCCGCTGAAAAGCGGGTTTTCCCACCGCAGAGCAGCAAGAGCGAGCACGTAGGAGGAGAGAACATAGCAGAGCTGAGCAGGAGACGGCAGACTTAATGATGAATTACATGATCACCTGCTATGCCTCAGAGCTTTTCATTCAGGTAGAGAATCACCTCTGGAGCAGGCAGAGGCGGAGGCCCTCCCCTTTCCTTCCTCTTCCCCCCCCCCCCCCCCCCTCATGTCCTCCGCCCCCACTCCTCCTTTCCTCATCTCTCACTCCCAACACCACCACCACCATCACCGGAACAGATGTCTGCTGTAACCCAGTAGCTCCCTTCGCTGTAGACACATGGAGGTGCCATCTGGACCGGAACGCCGCTCCCCTCCAGACTGGGGAGTGTGTTTATGTGTGCGAATGTAAATCAGAGAAAAGAGCTTGAATTTACTTTTCGGCGCACGTGCCGGCGCGACATTTATGAGCGCGCCCCGTTAGTGAGTAAGCATGTCTCGGAGACAGAAGGCCCCCCCGTGCGATGATGACACACCTGAGGATGGTTGGTTGTGTTTGTTAGAGTCTTGCGTTTGTTTTTTCCTGCGCTGACTTTCAGAGATGGATGAGTCAGGGCTACGGCAGGTGGGATTGCTCTCAGCAGCTCTCTCTGAGCAACCGGCTGGAATATGTGATGAAATCTAATTCAAATCACTGCTTACTCTGTGTATCTTTCATCACTTGTTTTATCTTTCTGGATTAAAAAGGGAAATTACAACTAAATAATGGCGCTTGGTCGAATGTTTTGACAAATGTATCTAAACTTAACAACCCTGTAATTAAGTTGTGCTACTTTGAACATGATAATGAACCTACGGCCGAATGCAGTCTTCACTTATGAGGTTATAATAAAAATGTAAGCTGTGATGAACATCAATTGTTTTTTTTAAAAGCTCATGGAATATGGAAAAGCAGTGTGTGAAAAAATACATCCTCTTTTACTATTTTCATAGGAAACAAGAAAGCAAAAGGCCGCTAAACACGTGCCCTTGGTTAACTGATCATAGCTACCATCTAGATTTAATATGGGGTTTATTATTTAAGAAAATATTTCCAGAACGATGCCAAAGCAGGTGTACCCATGATCAGAACCATGAGCTACATCTCAGACTCTACAGGCCTCAGTTAAATGCTAAACTGTATGACAGTACAAATTGAAAAAGTTGTGTAGAGGGTTTGGAAGAGACGGCCTCTTTTTTCTAAAAAAGAACATGGCAGCTCAGGTTGGGTTTGATAAATAACATATGAACAAACTAGTTATTTAGATAAATTAGGGCAAACTTCTACTGTCATATACTATAACATACCTACATATAACATAAGAATTATCCCCAACACAGCAACAGAACTGGAGCTGAATGTTTGGAAAAGAAAATAATCAAAGGTTCCAATGGTCTGGTCAAAGAACAGACCATAGCTGGACTGAAATTATGGGATGGTATTTTTAAGAGCACTGCTCATTAATAAATGCTACAAACCTCAATGAAATAAAGCAGCACTGTCAGAATGGGCCAAAAATCCCTCCACCACAATACGAAACAAATTGATAACGTCACAGTCAATCATGTGGTGTACTTGGTTTTTCACACACTGCTTCCAAGTTTTTTAAAGTTTTTGGATCCTTATATCCATGTATTCCTGTTTATCTGAGGTTCAGTTTGTGATTTCTGATTTCAAGACATGGTAAGGACTATTTTAATTCTTCTTGTGTCCTGATATAAAATCTGAGAAAAAAAAACAACTCCATATACCTTCTTTTTGACATGACTGACACATTGTTATTACACATGTAAAACAGAATGTACATTGGTATTACTGTATGCAGAGATGCTTTTTGATGCACGGGCGATGACTTTATCCTGACGTACATCTGATATCTTTCACAGATTTTGAACATCTTTTATGCAGACAGACGGATGTTATGGAGCTACTGGGCTACCAAAAGGCTTTGGTGAATCCACAATGGACAACAGCAGACATCTGGTAGAAACACAACCCCACCCAGCAGCAGCATAGCCACAGAACAAGACACTAGAGAGGAGAGGGGAGAGGAAGAGGAGAGGAGAGGAGAGGAGAAAGGACGGATGGAAAAAGCGGAGGAGCTCTGGGGGCTCACAGGAAGTGTAAACAGACAGAAATGTACACAAGTCGAGGGTGGTGTGAGCGGAAGTAGAGCATGTATACATGTACACAGTATAATGTTTAATGTTCTAACCATGGTAAGGAAACTGCACTCCATCGCTCTCATGCTTAATCTTCCTCTCCTGCACACTGGCCAAATGGTGCTGCACTGAAAGGCCAAACAGGGGAGAAGGGAAGAGTTAACAACGGAAGAGGGGAGGAGAGAAAAAAGACAAAAAGAAAGAGGTGGAAAGAAAGACAAAGAAATAGGTAATCCGGGACTTTTGCAACACAGAGTGCAGCAAGTGCCGATCAAGTAGTTACATCATTACAGCTGGCAATATCAAACAGCAGTATGTAGGTGCAAGGGTCGTTATAAACAGGAGACGACATGAAATCCAGCAGTTTTACAAACCCCCATCAGACAAATAATGCACCCGGGAGGCACACATGAAGTCACATTGCAAATACATTTGATGAAGATACCCATGGTGATGTTTAAAAGAGCAGTAAGCCAAAGGGTGAGCGGATATTGTTTCGGAAGAAAAAGGGTAGGGTTACACTGGGGCCGCTGGGCTGTGACACTGAAGTAGAGAGCAGAGATTGAAGTGAATGGTGAGAAGAAAACGGCTCCTGGAATGATGGGATAGAACTATTGTGGTCTTTGTTGAGTAAGGCCTGTCACATAATTCAGATGACGGGGCTCGGACCCTACGATTGGACCTTCGTTAATCAAATACTTTTTTTTGGTTAATTCCCTACCAGAAAAAACAACATTAAATAGTACATTTAATCTTTCTTTTGGAATGATAATGTCATTTTCTGTGTGTAGTTTAGTTTTTGACAGTCTTTTTTTAAGTTCTCATTTTTATTCTGTCCGGTTAAGCAGTCAACTTTGTTAGATACAGAACTGTATTCTAAAATAATCTTCAAAAAAGCTTTTACACATGACATAAAAAAATTATTACAGCTGTTTGTGAAGGTTGGTGAAACCCTAAATGTTTTACACAGCTCTCTTATCCTAAAAATAGATTATAATGGGTTTTTTTTTAAATCAACAAAAACTTTAACAATTACCACTTAACCTCTTATGATTTTCAATTGCAATAACTTTCACATTTAATAGTTGTCCAGACTACCTCAGTTCCAAAAGATTTCCCTGTACCAATGAAAATGCTCATTTTGATCGATGATCTTTTATATATATGTCACAGTAACAGTGATTACAAACCAGCTAATGTCGATTTACTAAACCCTGAAATGGTGATAGTAACTTTGTCACAGTGGAATTAAATAAATCATTAACCTGCATCGTTCTAAATTATCTATTTATCTTATTATTCCCTGTTTCCTACCATGTTTATGATTATAATACTACGCTCCAACAAACCTATTTTAGAAAAACACTACCTATTTCTTCCGCTAAGTCAGGATAAGGTTGTTCATTTTTTTGGGCATGTATTCTCGCGACTAATTTAAAATCTAAATATCAATTCAGTGGGTATTCCAACTTGCATATATAAATATTACAAAACAGTAGCCTGTTATATTTGACTCTTAAACGTTGAAATTCAGTAAGACAGGCGAAGGCTACAGATGAGTATATTTAGGTTTTAACATGCAAAGCTACAAGTTTTATTACTTAACACAAACTAAGAGGAAAGATTAAAAACAGGATGAAGTGTTTAAAGTGGCACTGTAAGCTTTTTAGCTGCACTAAAGCTCATTAACTGTTCCATTACATCTTATTCATTCACAGAAATCCTGCTAGCCAAAGCCTGCTGGCTTTGTTGGTCAAACCTAAGTATGACCTGTATATATATAAACCTAAGTAACAATGTGAATAATCAACTCCCAAAAATGTCAAACTATCTTTGAATATGACTAGGATATAGAGTTATTAAATAACTATAGCTCGTCAGCGATTTTAATGACTGGGTACATTTTTTTTCATCCTGTGGATCTTTAGTTGTGAAGAGAGAGATGGGGAGAGAGAGACGATGACTGTGGAGGGTGCAGAGTAATTAAGAGGAGGGTCAATGCAGCACAGACGCAAGGCAGATGGAGGGTGGAAGGAGGTGAGCTGTGGATTCTGGTGAAATTCTAGAAGGCTTTGTATGAAGCTATTGCAAGGAGGTACCTTGATTACGAATCAAAATGGAGGGTTTGACATTTCTGGCAAATACAAGTCTTTGCATCACAGCTAAATATTTGTATATTATTACAATTCTTTACGTTCATTTCACCTACCTACCCTTTTGTTCAAACCTGAGGCAGCCTAGTGGGTGCTGGCTGAATCTAAACGATTTATTCGTATGAAATGTTCGGGATTTGAGGGGTACATGGCATGGCATAGAAAATAAAACAAATGATCCCCTTTAAATCATATGTTGGTTTTTTCAGCTAAACTTAGGACTAGTGGAGAGAGTGAAGAAGGCCATTTCTCCACGGTAACAAGGTTTAAGGTAAGCTAACAGCTTGGTTTAAACTTCTTATTTAACGCAGTTACCCACAGGTATTGGCAATCGGCAGCAAATTACTTTATTCACAAAAATGTCAAACAATTCCATAAAGGCTAGGCAAAACTACTTTGGGTTTATTAGTGATTATGGCAACTTAAGAAACTATTGGAGTGTTGTGAAGATTTAATGGAGGAAAGATCATTTTCGATACAAATCAGTTCATTTTTTTGTGCCCGGATTGGTGTCCACCTCAGCCCAGCTCCCGGAGAGAGATTTGTGTGTGGGATATGATTGGACAGCTGAAGCGGGAGTACCTGCATCTACATCGTTAGGCCAACCGCTGGATTGAGAGCTGCTCCCAGCTGCAGGGGAACGGCCTGAGTAGAAGACATCATCCACCGGGCTCTCCATCTCGCTGTCGTCAATAGACTTGCGCTTATTGGAGCTGGGGGGAACAAAAGAAGGGAGTTTTATTCGAGTTCCTGAAAAGGAAAGTTAAAGGATGTGTGAACAACCGGATTCATATTCTTGGTCTTTGTTAAGGTCTGGGTCTGTGAAACAAACTGTCACTTTACTAATGGAAATGCGGAGCTCTAATAAATGCATGCATACATCAACTACAGGACATTTGAGGACACACGTGGGGGCTCATTTCCCCCGGAGTCAGGCATGAATAAAAATCAACAGTAATAAAAATTTTAAAAGTCAAGGTTCTGGTCCGTGTTTTGTTTTCATATTATGTTCCAGCCAGAGGGGACAGAGCAGCCCAAATGGAGTCAGTAAGACGAGCATTAGGCTAGAATTATCTTAGCACGCTGTGTCTACTGTGGCCTGAAGCAGCCTCAGGCAGCACACCGAAATTCTGGCTGACGCTGGAACGCGCTGTTGTGCGAGTTTGCAAATTCTTATAGCTTCATACATCTGCGACCAATAAAACAAAGCCTGGTTGTGAACGTACAGTGCCTGTGTATTTGTGTGACAACAAGAGTGTGGGGCTTTTGTGCGAGTGTTGTGCCGGGGCCTGTGTTACATTAGTATCAAGGGAAATACTCAGCAGAAAGTGTAACTACCTCCGTGGGAGACTTGCATAAAGCTCCATTTCAGTCCTGCAGCGTAAGATGAGCAAAGGAGGAGGAGAGAAGGAGCGCGGGAGGGGGAAAACAGACACCAAAGACACAAACAGATTGGTGGGAAAACGATTAGGAATGAGAAGGATTAGTGATGAGGGAGGAAAAAGAGAGGCAGAAAGACCACATCAGAAAGAAGAGCAAGCTAAGCATACAGAATACATCAGTGAGGTTAAGAAATGAGGGATATTAGTAGAGAATAGGCAATCTGTAGGGGCACCTGGGATGCGTGTACCTGGTGGAAGGGGTGGAGGTGATGGAGCGCCGTCCCAGGGTCACCTGGTTGATGTTGTAGTAGCCAGGGCTGTCCAGGTCTGCCAGAGAGAAGTTGGGGCCTGTCGCTGTGGCCACCGGAGCTGAGGGGTGCGAACGTACAGGTGTCACCACAACACTGAAAGAGTTCTACTGTTTGGCTTTACATAGGGTCATTTACGACGGTCATAGATTAACTGCCATGGACCCTGAGAGAGGACCAATCTGTCAATTATGACAGGCACAACTTCATGGCTCCAAGTGTAGGCATCAGAATCATGTAAAGAAAGTTCTGATTCACCTTCATCTTTTTACCCTCTCCTCACAACTATGACAATAAATCCATTTTTGTTTTAATAACCTTCAGAGCACTTTTGTTAACTCTAACTTTGGAATGGGCAGAGTCCCTTTTTTCCAGCACCTCCACAGACAGCTGAGCACTTTTGAATTTTAGCCCGTCTACAACATCATGTCTGATAGGTACGTGCTATGCTAACATAAAATAAGTATGGATATCTTCTTTGCTAGTTTTCTACTCACTTACATTTCCCTTCTTATAGCATCCCTCTTTGCATAGCCACTGCCTGCATTATTTGATACCACATCTAAATCAGATTTGCTCTTAAAAACGTTTTTACTGTCCGACATGAGACCACCCTTTATAGGAAGAATCAAAGACACCCCCATGATTCTTTCACATTGATCATCTTTTATCTATGTCTGCATTGTCTTGCACGGTGCAATGAGAAAAGTTTGACTCTCTTACGATAAGGGCCCTATTCTTTCCCCGTTCATCATGTGGTGTGTACCGTGTGACACACAGAACTCCTGTTACCGCTGTTTAGAAGAACTGTCTGCCGGAGGCTCCTCGGTAGCCGTTTATAACACTAACGGAGCAGAAAAGTTTCGGTGCCTGCAGCCCAAACGCGGTGGCTGCCAACTGACATCATAGAGAGCCAAGCGACGCCGCAACAAGCAATGTGGAGGGCTAGAGACCAAAGGAGCAACCAGTTTCCTCTGAAGTACATCAACTAAACATTACACAGCAAAGGCTGAATCTATCTAACGTAGTGGCTGGAACCATTCTGAGTCGGGATCAGGCTGCCTGGAAGTTCCAGATAAATGAACAGTGAACATTCAGTTTAGCAAAGCAAAGGCGTCCAAGTCTATGCGTGGCCTGGCTTGGCTTGGATACTCAGGGTAAGATACTGAGCTGAAATCAGGGCCTTAGATGAAAGGTCTCTAAAGTGGCTGTAAAACCGAACCGAAAGCTTAGTTCAAGTATTCAAACTCCATACGTGATCAAAGTGCCCGGCGGAGTTTGTGTAATGAATGAAGACCATTTTGCCATTTTTAGTGTTACACCAAAGTAACATTAATGCAGTGCAAGTGATTGACAGCAGAAATTAAAGCAATGACTCACTCTGTGACACGCGGACCAGCTCGGCTACGTTCCACACCCCTGAAGTCACGAAGCAGTCCTGGAAACTCAAGTGGCCTGGGTAATGGACAGAGATGGAGAAAGAAAAAGAAAAAGAGAAACAGAGTGAGCGGGTAAGGTCTGCATGGTTGTAGAATATCCCACAACATGCTGTACATTTCACAAACACACCAGAGGACACACTCCGTAAACACACACACAGCAAAGACACAAAACGAGAGCTGAGAAGCAGATGTGTGGAAAAGCTTCACACACTGCTGCTCCGTGTCATCCAGGGGAGGCATGTGTTTTCTATAAGGCACAACAGGCCTTTGGTTTCGGAGGTTCATTTTTCTGACTGCTGACATTCTAACATAGACAACCAATCAGGCCCGACAATATTACAATCCCCGCTAAGACAGCTTTCTAATGTATGAATCACTGTGTAGTGGAACCCTTATGTATGAATCGCAGACGCACATTTCAAAACAGAGGCACACTGTATAATGTTGGAGGCCACTAAAAGTGGAAAGAAAATAAAAGACAGGAGGCCAGCTCTAAATAAAGTCTTCGTTTGGCTCCTACATATTAATGTTGGAATAGCAAAATATGAAGAAAAGTTTGTTTGCTTAAAATTTGATTCAACAGACAAGGAGTAAAAAAGAATTTTCCCTCTCTACATGGATTAAAGGATCCTAAAAAAAATGTGAAGTTTATTATGTGTTCACTATTCTTAATACTTTAGTTTGTTATGAAATTAGGATTACTTTTTTGTTTAGTTTTTTTTCAGCCAAAACTTTTCAGGGGACTGTAGGAGGGCCAGTCAAGAAAATGGGAGTAAAGGACTTTGGTTATGGTCCTGCTGAAAAAAAAAAAAAAAGACCTCCTGAACCAAAAGGAGTCACCTGATCACATACATCCCTCCAAAATTCCATTCTATGGAGGAAAAACTCGGTCTGTATGAGGCAACTGTGGGATTAACCTCCTTCAAATTTATCAAGACTTGTTAGCGTTACACAGACGCTTCCGAACGAATTGTGGAAACAAATCAGATGGAAAGCTTGCTTCACATTAACTTGTGAGTATGATGGATTTTGCAGCTCATATTGTTTACAGTGACTTCCTGCGAAAACGCTGGAAAGAGGGCGGTTAAAATAAGTAGCCATAGTGTCAGAAATGTTTTCCTAGAAGTTCAACAAACCCACGCTAATAGATTTGGTCTATACACCACACAGATTTTTTTCATAGCTGTCCAGAAATGGAGGGAAAAAGAATAATGTTTCAAATCATCAAAAGTTGTAAAAGCAATGGAAAAAAATCCTATTTGAAAGAAACATTCATTAAATCTGGCTTAAGTCCAGAACGCAAGGATTTGTTTGGTTAAGTTACAGAAACAATTTCAAGAAAAATGTTAAGAAAGCACGCAAAGAACTACATAACTGATTAACATTTAAATGACAATAAAATACCTATATGATGTGTAATACATAATATATCTTAAAAAATCTGCTTTTGTGCAGAGTTGAAGAGCATTTACAAAAGCAGAACCTACTCCAAGTGGAATGCAGTCCAAACTTTTCAATACTACATTTTAATATATTGTTAAACTCTAATATTAAAAAAAGACAGACTATCTATTGGAAATTATTAGCTCATCTTAAATATGATGGCAGAAGTGCATCTCAAAAAAGCTGTCACAGGGGAAACAAAGAGTACGTGGTGCTAAATCTAAAAGCTGGAGGAACTTGTTGGTCAGGTGACTGAACAGAGATGCCAGGTCCCTCAGCAATAAACGCGAAATCTGTTCCCCAATCTGGAAAAAAAATCTCCAGATTGTCAAGCAATTTCAGAAAAACGTTCGTCAACCTAAAAGTCGGGATTTGAACTGGTGAAATCCCCAGGTCCTCGGGCAGATGATTCGGCCATGAAAAACACCCTGGAAATCAAGAACTTGAGGAAGCTTCAATCAGCTCAGGAATACTTTCCAAGACTGGTGTCGGAGAATACAGTCATTCCTTTGACAAATGCAGGTCCAAGATTTAGTAGCACTTAATTAAAAACTTATACCTCTGACGATTGAGGGTAGCAATAGTATTTTACTTTACTTATTTTGGATTGGGGCATAAGGTGGTAAGACAGAGACAATTTCAAAGCATTTAGCTTGCCCATGACTTTGCTCAAAGCTAGAATTTAGGTGTATTGTTCATCTGAATGTAAGAGTTTGACCAATATTTTGGAGGGCTTTGCATGGATTTTGAGCTACACACACTATGGTAGCGTAGAATGGATAACCCATAGCTCTACACGCTGCTGCCTGAAGCCCCCATTAAAAATCTACACCCCTCCTCTGTACCTCTTTCCCCCTCTCCCTTTAATCTGTCACTCCAGCTGTCCATCATTCCTCTCTTCACCCTCTCACCTCTAATTTTCTCGTCATCCTCCCTCCTACTGCCCCCGTTTACCTCCCATTTCTACATCTCCAGCTCCCTCTCTCCATCCTTGCCCGGGGTTAACCACAGCGGGGACGGCGCATGAAGTCAGCGCTCGGCTCGGCCGTGGCCATGTGGTTCCCATCTTCCAATAACGTCAGTGTGATTTATGAGCGGCCCGCCACAATCCAAGCACGGCCCCCACGCTACAGTACCATCAACTCTCCTTACCATAATAAACCGAGCCCCAAATCGGCCCCGGCGCGCTGACACACAAAGAGGCCTGTGTGTTACGGCGGTGTGCGTGCACGTGCACGAGCCTCGGCATCTGAGCAGATGTGAATGGACGCGTGCACGGGTATGTCACAGGTGTATGAGCGCAGAGGGACCTGGTTGTGAACTCACCGTTTGGCGGGGGCTTGACGTCTGTGTCTCCTTGCTGGTTTGAGTTATCTGATTGTCCTGATTGTTCTGGAAAGAGAAAGAAGGGTGGGGGGGGACAAAACAGGAGATGGACAGTTAGGCAGGTGAAGCAACATGCCTAAGTGAAGGGTCAGGTCGGCATCTGAGGAAATTCACTTTTCAAGGAAGGGGAGAGACAATCGTCAGATTGAGAGAAAAAGACAGAAGCACGTATTCAATGGTTGGTTCAATCTCAGATTAAAGTTGAAAGATGTTTAGTATAATTTATTCCTTAAATAAGACTAAGACTCCTTCAAAAATTATTTTCTCACATTGCACTCTGAACTTGCACCCATAAATATACATACACTGTTAGCTAAGGCCTTGTGTAGGCTGTAGAGAGTTCTGGAAACATAAAACCCTTTAATGTTTACATGGAGGTTGATAGGCATTAGGGGGAAAAAGGTGTATTTCCAGCTTCAAGGCATAGCTTACTGTGAATTTACTTCCTTAGAGCCACACGGTTTTAGTACGGAGAAGTGTATTTTGGCTAAACCTCTCCCTACAAACCTCCGGTTCCCCACTGTTGACTTGTTAGGTGTTATGTAGACGAACTCTTCTCTGACTTTGGTGCGCAAACTGATTCACCGAAGACCTTTGACTGCTCAAGTGCGGTGAAGTGTTCCAGAGAAAGCTCGGCGTTGCCGCAGCTGACTTGTAAAAGTGTGTGCTTTAATGTTCAAGGCGTTATTTGGATTACGTCTCCTGTGTGAGTTTACCTCAGTGTCTATAGGGGAAGGCCGGCAGACTGAGAGCTTGCCTACTTCAGCTAGTTTAGTTTGGCCCGCTGGCTGCCATTCTTCGTCAGATGTGTAATACGGAGTTGTTGGGTTTTATGGTTGTATCCTATATACAATTTATACCAATTACCCTACGGTGCTTGAGTTTTTAAGAGTGCTTTGGGCCAAGTCTCTTTAACCAGAATGTGGCCTCCTTGTAGCCAGCACTAGCCCCCCCCCATGTCAACTTCTTTTAAACCCAAATCAGAGGCCTAATCTTGGGTAGTAGTAACGAACTTTGTGCCAGCAATCTGCCCCACTATTCATCCTCTGTAATCACTGTGAAAACAAAGGCAAACACAAAGGGACACCTCCTCGTTTCAGGTCCAAATGGATGAGGCAGAAAAACACGAGGACACAAGGAGTTCCTTTTCTCTAACAGCGCTCGTCCCTGGTTCTGCAGGAGTCAGAGTCCACCTTCAGGTCCTTCTCCCTCATTCTCTCTCACACTCATCGCGCCTCTGATTCTCTTTCTCTCGTGCTGTCGCTCTGTGGAATCCTGGCAGCCATCTTAGCGCTTGGCAGCCATCTTAGCTTTGGCGGTACCCATGCATTCCTGCTAGCTGACGGCACACCCACACACACACACACACACACGCTCACACACATACGCTTGCAAAGCTCACTCTCTTCTCACACACAGCCCCAATGGTCTTAAAGATAAAAAGACCTACAGAGGATACGCAATGCTAATGGAGTGAGGACAAAACCGCTGGGATGCTTGTCTGCTGTCCTGCGAGTGTCATGTCGCCTGCACAAAATAGTCCCAAAGTGTTTGAGCTGAATGGAAATGACGGTTGACCACAAATGTCACGCACTCGTAAAGTATGAGGAAGTGTGTTTAGCGGCTAATGTCAATAAAGGCGACGGGCCCGACAAACCCAACGCTATGTTTCGCTGGCGGCAGAAAATGCTGAAACCTTTTCCAACCCGCGTGCCTCTAAAAAAATAAAATAAAACACTCCTACACTTTGTGACAGCTCCCAAGCCAAAATCCAATGCCTGGTTGTCATGACAACGTGCAATAGCACACTACGCTTAAATTCCCTTATGATGAGTGATTGTTGAAGCCTGTGTGCGCATATGTGTCGTTGTTTGGCCAGGCAATTAGTTGGAATGAAGATAATAATATAGCCTACTGGCATGGGCTCAAAGTGTTGTTTTGTTTAAGTATCTCTTGGCACCAAACAGGCCGACAGCCTCTGTGCTACAATATCACAAGGCTGACTCTATTATTACTATATCAGTCGCTCCCTATTTTATGGCCTTAAATCCACTCTTGTATAATTAGCTAAATTTCTCGCACTTTTGCTTGCCGAACTTTTCTATCTGTCTTGGCAGAATGTCACCGTTACCTCATCTCTACTCTGCACTTCATCAAGGACTTTACACACTGTTTGAGCTGTGTTAGGAGGATTTGCTAGACTCTTTCTCTTCATTTAGTTGTTCGAGTGATGCAATGCCTTCCACAGTCTTCTAGATAAGACAGAGAACACATCTGCTACAGTTCAGGTATGCTGTATCAAAGCTAGTGGAAATAATCTGAAGATAAACTTTGAGCCGCAGTCTTCATTGACTTTGACATAACATGGGTGCTCAAAACAGACCAAATATTAAACAGGGGAGGGGGAACAAAAAGAGAAAATGTCAAAATGTGTTTTTGGTTGTGACCTTTTGAAGGGCCGTCTTGTCCCGAGATCTAACCCCAACCACATGCCCTTAAAAAACGATGAAACAGCAGCTGGTTTCTGACACATTCATAGTCTTCTAAATCAATGTTTGTGGAGGCAACTGAAAACTTAACTTTTATAAATGTCTGAATCTATTTGTCTTAGATTTCCCAACGTATTTATTTGTGTCTGACACAGACAAACTAGGGGAAATAGGCCTTTCGCTATCTTAGTATATTTGCATTAGTCTTTCAAGTGAATGCCTTATGATCCCACTTCATGCATGGACATTTACATGTTTTTTACATGTTTATATCCATGTTTAATGTCTACAAGCACTATAGTGAATGAAGGTTTTCTGTTTGTGTAACCTTTGGAAGGATTACAAGCATGTAAAATGTATATTGTGTCTGTACTCAGATGTGCCTGTACAGGAATAATTGCGTGCTGGAAGCATGACGCTTCCAATCAACAAGGATGCTTCGCTCTCATGGCGAACAATGGAGGAGCTGTGTGTTATTACATTATTATATATGCTCTATAGACCACCTGCAGGGAGAAATCACTGCCAGCAGGCCTCCAAGCCCCTCAAAAGCCTTTGTGAATGCCCACGACGATAACGCACACGTGACACAGGCAGGCGCACATGTAACCACATTTATTAATGTGTGGGTTCAAGTGCGCGCACCAACCGTGGATGCACATGCCTCCAAAGCACAAACACACTCCCTCACACACACACACACACACACACAATGTTCAAACACAGATGAATCACCCTTATCTCCAGTGTGCAGTCGCCTCATGTCCCCCTGCACACGCCCCACCAGAGATAATACAACACAGACACACACACGGGCCATCAAACACACCGTGCAATCTGCCTAATCACACACACACCCACACACGCACACAAACGCACGCACGCACACACACACGCACACACACAGTGAGTTCATTTGGTTGCCTGGTCAATATACTGTACAGATGTACTCCAGTGTGTGAAGTTAACACTGGCTATGCATTTATCACACTGAAGACTCAGACAGAAGCTAATAACTCACACCCAGGCTAATGTACACACACTCCAAAATCACACTTATGTAATCAGTCAATTCATCTAACGCGCACAGGGAAAAAAAAGAAAAAGTCCCCATTTACACAAGTGCCAATCATTAAGAGACACTTGAATGTAAAAAACACAAACACACACGTGCTCACTTAGCACACTGGCAGCCATTCCCACCGCTAATGGACTCTTTTATTGCATGAGCATTCATATACCGGAGCACACTGTACGCGTTATGCTAATTTACAGCGCCGTTAAGAGCGTTTGTTTGTGCAGAGCAAGCACGCATGAGCAAACGGGTCTCGGCTCTGCAGACAGTTGATGGACTATAAAAATCACCATCAACGTTCCAATAGCGAAGATAAAATGGAACAGCTTTGGATGTTAAACTTGACGGCGGCTGGAAGGACACGAGCCGCCGAAGCAGTGCCTTTCAATAAATCAGCTCTCCTAACATCCCGTATTATCATTCCGTCGGATGAGAATGAGATGCAGCTTTTCACCACCTTCATCCAGCTGTCCCCTTGCATGTGCATGCACTAAAATACCTTTTAATGCAGGCCTTTGGAACCCGACTCCTGGCCAGATTAAGACAAACAAACACAAACGCACTATTTTTACCAGGGACTGAAGGTGTGTGAAATCCCTGCAGCAGCTGTCCAGATGTCGCTAAAATATCGATGACCTTTGCCGTGTGATGGCATCGGTGTGTGTGAGACGGCAGATGAAGGACAGAGGGAGATCGGGATGCTTAAAAGATCGGTTTGTTTTATCTAAGGTGGAGCCATTGTAGATTTAACAGTTGTTTAGACAATAATCTAATGAGAGTGACTAAGCAAACCGGAATCTGCAAACAGCAATTAGCTTAGGAAGCACAAAAAAATAAAACAGAGCGGGCTTTTCAAGCTTTCTCCAAGTGTTGAGGCAAAGGGCATACTCTGCCTTTTAAAGAATTACAAAAACTAAAAGACGCAGTCTTATGAGCACTTGAAAAACAGACTCTCTAAGTAGTCAAATGAATAGAGTAGGAAATTTGAATGCTTTCCTATTTGGGTTTCATAAAGCACATCTACATGATACTATGAAAACTATTTGTATTGTGTGGCCAAAACACATTTTGCTAATTCTTTTAAACATACTGGATTGCTTCAACCAAAAATTGTAGAACAGACTTCTTAAAACAGTTGATCACACTGGGATTGGGCTTCGAATTACTCTGTATATGTACTCTCAAATGAGCTATATACATTCTAAAGTTCCTACTTTTTTCCATCTACTTGGTTACATAACAATCCAGTGAGTCTTAATTCCCAATATAAAGGCTCTGACTCACATTTATTTCTGTTTAGTTTGTCTAACAGCTAAAGATATCCAAAATTATGGCTGAAAATCTTTCCATATAAACTGCACTTCAACTTGCAGTTGGGTAAGACTGGCGCTCTGCTCTGAATTTATCTTCAGATTTTGTAACCATAATGTGAAATAAGCTAAGCTACGAGTGTGGCAGAGAGTGATTAAGTATTTAATCAGAGTTAGGGGAGGATGGTGCTGAAATTGTATGATCAAGTGGAGCTGCTCTGAGTCTTTACTCGTAAAAATCCACTGTTTGTTCGCTCATGAAGGCAATGACATCACATGAATCCACTTGAAGAGTGGGGTACGTACAATTTTGTTTCAAGTGAATCTATAGCAGAAGCAAAACATTTTTTTTTTTTTAAATCACATAAGATTTTTTAGCTCATTTAATGTTTTAAAATTATGCTTACATAAGTGTGCATATACACATATGAATCATATCTTTTCTACCCTGAGTAAGAACTCCCAATTGGTTGTATGAAAGAGAAATACAAAACAACCTGTTTTTTAAGTGTAATCGTTAGTTTCACACGTCTCCAAATATTGCATGGGACTTTGGACGTTACCAATCGCTCGTTATCTCTGACCGTCTATCTGCAGCATACAGCTGGTTAACCCTCTGACTGGCTGTGATTTACCCCTTTGCATCCTGTGTCCTCAGATATGGTCCAGTTGACCGTTAAATCACGATTGCTTCCTCCATACAGACCCCTCAAACAGATCCAACATAGTTCTCTTCCAGCTTTTATCTTTGTCTCGCCTCTGCTTTCCATTCTCCAATCTTGTAACCCTCTGCTCTTGCTCTGCTTAATTACCTCTGTCATGACTCCCCCCCCCCCCCCGGTCTTTATCTGTTTTACATTACATTCGGACATTTTTGTTTTTGGTTGTCTTTAGTCACGTCTGCCAAATGCCTCAGAGAGGTGTAAAAGCCCTGAGACCCAAGAAACTTCCCAAGAATTGGCCAAAATGGCAATAAGTATGATTCAACTTTCAACGTTCTTCCACATGTATGGCACAATTTGCACTGTAGAAACGGGGTGCATCGTTTGGAAGTTGCTGTTCAGTACAAACGATGGGCATGTTTGGATTTTATCAGGCTTAATTTTGGCATTGTTTTGCGGGACCCAACTGTTGACCAAATGTCAGGTTCAGTCATATTTACCTTGAGCCTCTGGGCAGGGCTTCTGGCAAACTTAATCACCGTAATTTTGAAAATTATCTGAATAATAATTTTGCCCCAATTTCTCTCTGGTCTTAAGCATTTTGATGCTAAATTAATTCGACCTTAACGCATAACCATTTTGGCTAGGGTGGTCAAAAGAAATGCAGAGGTGGGCAAAAATTCCCCTCTTCCTCATGCCTGTCTACCCAATTATGACAAGCAAACAATCCTAATTGGACTTCACATTATGGTGAAAGAAAATATTAATCATGTAGGAGCATTATGAAAAACAATGATCGTGTAAAGCAGGAAGCCTTAATGGCAAACCACTCTTGGTGTCACGTTTTGACCCCCCCCCAAAAAAAAAACTGCGTCTCGAGTTAAAGCTTACGGCAGCCGATTTTCAACCCCGCTTTCTACCAGCACCCCCGACCCATCCGCCTGCCTCTGGATAAAGAAACCCAAACAGCCTCCCCAATTGGGTTTCGCTTAAGAGGTTTATCGGTATGTTGCTAAACATTCTGACCTTTTTTTTTAATCTTTAATGCGCTTAAAATGTTCCAAACCCTCCTAATCCCCACGGCTATCCCACACAGATGTTCACCCGGCTCTTTTATTGGACTTCATTTCAACCTCCATCCCCCCCCCTCTCCTCCTTCTCCTCCTCCTCCTCCACCTCCTTTCTTCTTTTCACCAACATCATCCCCCTTCTTTTGGCAATTCCTATCCCAGTATTTGAAAACTACTCATCACCCTCTGATCAATTCCCCACCATCGCAATTGTGCTTCAACCTTCTACAAGTAAATCTTAGTCTGAGTCAGTTTGTTTAAAACCAGGAGTTCTTATTGAGCTCTGCTGTGCCGGGGAACTAGCGACAGTTTAGGCTCAGCTCGGTATGACCAGGGACACGCACAAATGTCCCGGGATGTTTCATGGGAATTCGTTTAATTAGATAATGTACAGTTAAGGGTAACAAGATAATGACAGGGATGGGAGGAACACTGTGGTCATTCCTGCTGAGCTGTCAGGGCATCTGGGAGGGCGGCTTCAATTTCCCTCCATTTGCTTTGGCAGGCCTGAAGCAACATACATAAAATAAAAGGACAATACGGGCTTAAAATATAATTTAAGACGCTAAATTGAGCCAAATCACTTATTATATGACATGATTGAGTTTGCTGACCAAAAAGCTGCCCGCATGCCTTTAAAACTACCCAATGTTCTGTGACCGGAGTGATGGCTCATTTACAGTCGCTGGAGCAGCTCATTTTTCCTCGCCGATTAAAACTGAGCTTTCGCAAATGGGAGGAATAACACCGGGGCTTTTTCTGTCTTGGGGATGGATTTTCCTTCGAGCTATTTTTGGCGCCATCCTGGGAAGTTGAGTTGGCCTCCATCTCCGCACCCTACCTATTAAAACCGGCAGCTTCGGGATCCGGCCCTTTCGCCGGAAACGGTCGTTTCTGACGCGAACGAAATATCTGCGACATCTCCAAATCCGAGTCTGCGTGCATCTTTGTGCCCACGTTCGGCGTAAAAAGTGACAATAGTGCATCTCGGTGAGTGAATGTCTGGCATGTAACTCCGTGTGACAGCACGGCATGGGGCGACGTGATTAATTGTGAAATGTGTTTCTGTGCTAGTAGTGCTGAAGTGTGAATGTGTGGGCGTGGGACTATAAATACATCATTTGGTGGCTATGGATGTGAGATTGTGTCTTATATATGTTTATGATCGTTTGTCTGTGTGTGCGTGTGTGTGTGTATGCGCAAAAAATTTCTGGAGAGCACATGTTGAGGCGCAGTTGGAGATAAGCATGTAAACATCTGTGACTGACAGGCTGAGCAGCAGAGTGTGGGAGGGAGACGGTGTTCCTTTATTAAAACACACGAGCGTGCATGTGCAGAATCCATAGCAGTTTTGTGGGAGTATTTGCATGT